AATTATTATTAGATAGCAAAATAACAGGACATGATAATAAAATAACTTATCTTAATTATCTTAACTAGCTACTCTAGCTACTTACTACTTAAAATATACTTGATACTACTCTATATAAATATTCTATTAGCTCGCTGACTAATTACTGAATAAATAATTATCTATTCTAGTATTCTATAAGAGGCTAGTTCTCATGAGAATCTTATACTCAGAAGTTATAATAATATTAAAAGCTATAATACTAATTAGATATAATCTTAATAGCAAAATAATAGATAAACAGTCTATATATATAAAATTATTAATAAAAAGAGTTAGAAGAAAGAAAAGAAATCTTATAAATAAGTAAAGAGAAATTACTAGCTTTTATATTATAACTAGCAGCTTATTTAATATTAAGTCTATTTATTATCTAAAGTAATAGATAATAGGATTCGGCCTATTTATTATATTATTATTAAATTATTATTTAACTTACCTAATTAGGATATCTAGTAATTATAAATAATTAATAAACTATATTCTAACCTAATTAATTATAAGATTAATATCTCATAGTCAAGATATCTTGAAGAGAGAAGATAATTATTATGGCTAGAAAGAGAGATTAATAGTCTAGCTTGGTAGAAGCAGATAAGAGTTAACTTGCAGGTAGATATATAGCTAATATCTAACCAAAGGGGTCCCGCTGTATATAATAGCTAGAAGAATCGCTGTTTAAGAGGAACAAGTGATTTGTTTTGAATATCAATATATCTACCCCTCCGCTTGCATTCCTCCCACCTCGTAGAGACAGCTGTTGACAAGTAGGGGATTAGCCGCCTAAACAACGTCTATCCCAACCCCCCACATCAATCGGCACGCCGCCGCTTACACTGTAGGCACGGGGGCGCGACCAATAAGAACATGAAGAAATGCAGTGTACATAGACTGGATTACATACTAGGGTATAGATTAATAGTTTAGCTTAATAAAAGTAGATAAGAGTTAACTTATAGATAGATATATAGCTAATATCTAATTAAAGGGGTCCTATTATATATAATAACTAGGAGAATCACTGTTTAAAAGAGATAAGTAATTTATTTTAAATATTAATATATCTACTCTTCTACTTGTATTTCTCCTATCTCATAGAGATATCTATTAACAAGTAGAGGATTAGCTGCCTAAATAATATCTATCCCTACCCCCATATTAATCAGCACGCCGCCGCTTACACATATGAGGTTTATATAATAGAATACTAGTGCTCACGCAGGGCTCTGGGGGCCAGAGTTATAAAGAAAGAAGATAATATTAAGTGATAGTCTCAGGTAGCTTGCCTGTTAAGACCTGTGGGTGCTGAGTTATTAAGAACACTGCAGGCTACATGTATATAAGCTCCTGACTCCCTCATCCTTTCAAGGATCAGTAATTAGTTCTAGCATAGGCTTCCTCTTATTGTCTGACATACAATCCTCTATTACTGCTCCTAGCACGTTACCCAACCCTTGGTGTGATGTCCCTGGACTACCGCATAACAGATAGCCCTTGTCTTTAATCCCTTAACTTTAATATACTTTTATAACTATTATAGTACTTCTAAAATTCTAGAAAAATATATATTATTCTTATAAGGGATAGTACTATCTATTAATATTAAATTTAATACTATACCAAGTATTAGTAGGTGTTATGTTTACCTGGAATATGTCTATTAGAATAGTTAGGGGAATTACTATCAAAGAAAGATAAGTAATTTATTCTAAATAATAATATACCTACTCTTCTACTTGTGTTTCTCCTATCTTATAGAGACATCTATTAACAAGTAGGGGATTAGCCGCCTAGATAATATCGAGAGAGAGAGTGAGAGAGAGAGTGAGAGAGAGAATTGTATTATACTCAATTTTATCTCTGTTTCCGGGATCCTTTCAAGACACTGACGGCCGAAGGGCCTGAATAGGGCTGGTCAGCTTGTATCAGTAATATAGTCATGAGTATATAATAGTCTTGGGTACTTGGTATAGGGATGAGAGAGTAATAATACTAGCAGGTTATCTAAGTCTCTTTATACAGGGCTAAAACTATGTTTCTAAGTCTATCTTAGCTTTAAAGGTCTAGAATTAACTATAAGAAGAGAGATACAGCCTGCTAAATATATCTAAAGTTTTAGTATTATATATATTTTATATAAAAGATATTATTATTTTAACAAGATTAAGATCTTATAATATATAACTATAATCTTAAGATCTTTTTAGAGAAGAGTTTATCTAGGTATAGTAATAGAAGTATCCATGACTTATAGCTTTAAGAATATCTAATAAATCTGACTCTAGATATATAATATCTATAGTTATTTAGAATTCTTAGAGACTTTGAATAAGTCTATAGATATGTATATATTAGGTCAAGTACCCAGGATAAGAGATTTCTCGCTATATAAGCCTATTTAGCAAGGAGTAGTCCTATATAGGACCCCTAAGTATGTAGCTAGGGAGAACCCCTAGGCATGTAGCTAGGGAGAACCCATAGGTATATAGCTAGGAAAGGGGGTTTTCAGGGGTATTACTAGTCCCCTGGTAGTATCAAGAGATATAAGTATCCCCTCCAGGGGTGCTGGTCGCGCTCGTTTCAACGGTTTCGAAGGAGGAGACGTGTAGAGACAGGCATCTGCGAGGTTGAAAAAGGGTGCAAAGGAGGAGACGTGTAGAGACGGGCGTCTGCGAGGTTGAAAAAGGGTGCAAAGGAGGAGACGTGTAGAGACCAGTAGTATACGTAGAGTTCGGGGATACTCTTAGAGAGGACCTAGTGTATGAGGGTATAGTGCGAGGGTATAGTGCGAGGGTACAGTCGCCTAGATAATATCTATCCCAACACCCACCTCAATCAGCACGCCGCCGCTTACACCGAGGTCCTTACATAAGCTGGGCGTCAGCCCCATAACACCACCTGCCATTGGATAGATTGAGTTTGAAATGCCAATGGCAAAGTTGATGGCGAAAGAAAGAGGCGCGTGCCCTCTTACAAAGCTATTAGGATTTTCCATTGACACACAATGCTTCGCCATGCGTTGAATTAACTAATTAAGCGAGCGAGAATGCAAGACACCCTGATAGGTCAGGGCTACGCTTGGGCGAATTTGGACAGGCCCGGAAACTGCGTTCGAATCTACCTCACCTTTGCGATTCACATACAGTAGAGTCTCTTTATAGCGGAGAGTCGAATAACAAGGTTGGCTATAACAGTCATTTCTAACCACACCAGGGTGGGACACGGACCCACACTAAGTCACCGACTAATAGCTGCAGTCAACAACTTAGAGGCGTATACAATTGAGAAAACCACCAAAATTTTAGGTTGCCGCACCGGGTGACACCCGCGGGAGCTGTTCATGGCCCTACCAAATTTTGCAAATACTGTAAGAACTAGTACTTATTTCGATAACTCGGAGCAGGCCATTCCAGAAGAGTGGAGACCGGGAGCCGGAACACAAAGGTCAGGCCACAGAAGGGCCGGGAGCCATCCGAGCCCCACATAGTACTTTACCCCAGGTTATTTCTTTGTTTACTTCCCTGTTCACGTAACAGTCTTCCTCTTCTCTCAGCCTCTGCTTCTTATTCTCTCTTATTCAAGACCTGCCAGGAACCACAATGTCTGTATCTCCTCCAACTTTTTGCACCCCTCCCCCTTGGGTGGTTGAATTATGCTCTTTTGTAGAATTTGTTGCATATTGATTCTTTTTCTTCTAGGAATTTTACCGAGGTGCCGGGGGGCACCTATTGGGGCCTATATCAGGACATCACCAAATTCAATACCCATCTGAGTGTGGCAGAGAGATTGTGGGTCGCATGGTATGCGTGGGTGAAGAATGATGTCCTGGCCACAGGCATCATGTCCTTCGTCATCCACGAGTTGTTCTACTTCGGCCGCTCTCTTCCGTGGATCTTAATCGATAGCTGGGGTTTCTTCAACAGATACAAGATTCAAAGTGTAAGTGGCAAGCCTAACACCTGGCACTAGCTGAAATCAACCCAATTCCAGCCGCCATCAAAACTAACATTCCGCTTCAGAGCAAAGTACCTTCATTACGCGAGCAATGGGATTGCGCCAAGTTTGTGCTTCTGAGCCACTTTACTGTCGAACTTCCTCAAATCTGGTATGTTCCTGCCCTTGACGGAGTGGTATTCTACCCGAGGTTTTGCCCTCGGGCCCGATTGAGTAATAACGGCTCATCTAGGCTTTTCCACCCATTGGCCCAGTTCTTCGGCCTGTCAACATCGATTCCTTTTCCATCTCCCTGGACTATGACATATCAGATTGCAATATTTTTCGTGATGGAGGACACTTGGCACTATTTCTTTCACAGAGCTCTTCATTGGGGTCCACTCTACAAGGCTATTCACAAAGTCCACCATCAGTACTCCGCACCATTTGGTTTGGCTGCTGAATATGCTTCTCCTATTGAAGTGATGATTCTTGGCTTCGGGACTGTCAGCTCCCCGATTCTCTGGTGTGCTTTCACTGGTAACCTGCATATTCTTACTATGTATATCTGGATTGTGTTGCGCTTGTTTCAGGCTGTTGATGCCCACAGTGGCTACGAATTTCCTTGGAGTCTTCACCATTTCTTGCCTTTCTGGGCTGGTGCTGATCATCACGACCTCCACCATGAGAAATTTATCGGGAACTACTCAAGCAGCTTCCGCTGGTGGGACTACCTCCTTGACACCGAATACATTCCGGATTCTCTGAAGCGCCGAAGAGAGAAAAAAGTGAAGGCAAGGAAGACATAATGGTCTGAATGTTAACAGTGAAGGTCTTCCTATTTTCTCTTTAATTTGGGTGTTGGCTCTGTCTGGAGCTATTTACCTGATGGAGGATAGCCTTTCTTATGGTACCCAGTCCGTTAAGACCCTAATACCCCTTGTGGGTATGAGGTTGCCGCCATAATTAAATTCACCATTGACCCTAACAGCTAGATTTTCTTATTCTAAATGTTATTTATTTGGACTGCCACTCTAAAATAAGCAAATACCAGACAGTACACCACAGATACAGCACCTATTCGTTTCTCACGTAGACACTGATCATATCTGTTCCCATTCCTGCCTCGTGTGTCCGTTTGGGTTGTGTGTATACTATTCTGGTACACTCTCCCGACCCACTTATCCCGCGGGAGGAAAGAAGGTCCCAATGGACCCCCTTAACCCCCCACGGTGGTCCTGGAAGCGAAGGATCTTTGTACATAGGAAACTCCAAGCATACAAGAGTGCCCAAGGGATTTAGCAACGCCATCATGCGTGATGCCCACGCAGCGCGACGAATCGGGTGCAAGGCACACAAAAACTGCATGAGAACAAATGGACAGAATTAGTTACCATACCAGTCCCTGTATTCTTGACCTTTGGTGATATAATGATCATAGACCGAGATTTGGCCAGATAGGAAGAGAGAAATGACTTACCGTGTAGTCATATATCAAATCAAACTTCATATCACCGTGGGACCACTCGGTGGCGAAGAAGTCACCTTGTAGGAACTCAACCACTCCGCGATCAGCAGAGTAACTCCGTGACCAATCCCCTACCTTCGGCCCATGACCGAAATTATAGGCTTGCGGAGCGGTAACCTCCTTTGCTGCATAGGCTTTCGCCTCTGTCACGGCTGTGGTGGAAAGTTCTAATCCGTATGCATCAAAGCCATGGAGACTTAACATAACAACTTCGTAGCCTCGGCCACATCCCTAGGTGGTTTAGTTAGTTGTCTCTGACTTTGTACTTTTTACCCATTAATCCAATTGATTGGACCTAGATGGGATGCAGGGGGTAGGTGCCCAAACCGGTACAAGAGCCTTCTTACGCCTGCCATCAGGGGTAAATGGGTGAAGTATATCCTCAGAGCTACTAAAATTTTCGATGATATCAATCAGTGCAGGTGAAGGCTTTCCTCGGTCCCACAGGTTGCTCTTTCCGGTGTCCCAGAGATTGGACCAACCAGAACCGTGGTCTTGCACTGAACTATATGTTTTATCTTAATATCTTCCCTATGTTGTTGTGATGTTTGGATAAATCTCAAGCTTACCGGTCCTCAAATTCGGAGATCAGCACACCCTTTTGAAAAGACATGTTTTCAATCAAGTCCGATGGTCAGATGGTACGTGGTGGACATAAGCAAAAGGACTGTTGGCGGTGATATTCCTGGGGTGCTATGGCATATTATATAGCTTTTGCCTCGGCCTTTCCTTGCAGATACCCTTGGATGTGTTGGGATGCTGCCTGCAATGCTCTGAACATGGCCAGTAAGAATAATGCCGCATGAGACTTAATTCGCCACAGTTACTCCTCTGCTTCTCCAATTGATGTTCTCAAAAATTACCGAACTATCACTAAAATGGCTGGAACGAAGGTATTGAGTTGTGTGCTGGCTGATTCTTTCCTCTCACTATCAACTGCTGAACCTGATTTTATCATCCCGATTTGACAACGCTAGTTCCCTTCCCTTTCCTCGTTTTTTTTTTATTTTTATCTTTCTCTCTCTCTTTCTCTTTTCTCAATAAGCCTCTTATCAACATAAGTCACTATTCTGTAACATAGCAACTCTTTTGCGAGTGAATGGGATTCTGAACCCTAAGTGGTAAATGGTAAATATAAAACCTCTGGCCAGTCTGGGCTTGTATAAAATTTGTCGTGATAAGAAATTTGTAACACAGACAAAGCATGAAATTTCTAAACGACTATAGATCAATTCGAAGACTTTCTCGAGCCAAGATAGCAACCATTAGTTGAAAATTACTATGACTAGAGATGGAATAAACTTTAAATCATATTCATTCTGATTGTCATTCCACGCGCGCAATAGAATATCAAGATACCAACTTTGCCACCTCCGACATGTTGGAACAATTTTTTACTGAGAACCTCCATTTGTTGAATTGAGGTCCCGTTGTTCGCTCGTTATCAGTCTACTTGGAGGGTTTTATCCCATCACTTCTCTTTGGTAAGGCTTCCCGCTGTGTGTGGTAGTTGGGTGAATCTTCCCTCCCCAGGCCCGGGCCATAGATCTACTGAACTCCACTCTGCAGCCTTCAGCAACAACTCTTCAGTATTCCTTGTCAAAGAACAACCATCTAGAAAAACTGACCAGATGATATTTATGGCAGCTGCATCCAAAAAGGAGATATTTTAGTGGAACTGGTATTCTCACAGGGTGGGTTCAATTATCAACATACCTTGCCAATATGCAATGAAAGCTCCCTTTCCCTTGACCCTGACATGTTCATAAACCAACCACTGTCCTCCTGGCTTCAAATAGCGATATAGGTCTTTGATCAATATATGAGGCTGGCTAACACTGCAGAGGACATGCACTGTAGTAATGGTGTCAATTGATCCTGTTTGTATTCCTATCTTTTCCAGGCTTGTGGTGCCGTTGCCAAGGATCTCATATCGGCCAGCGAGCCCATGCTCCTCTGCTGTCATCTTCAGTGATTGATGGAAATTTTCGTTTGGCTCCAGCAGCAAAAGCTTGGATATATTGGGATTTCGCCTGGGCGAAAATAAATACATCCACGCCCCTGAGCCAGGCCCGACATCAAGAACCACACCACTAGCGTTGGCCAACACAGTTTCGACATCACTGGTGAATAGTGGCATTGAAACGGAGCCAAAAAAAGCCCAGAAGCGTTCGAACCACGCGTTCTGGAAGGCGTGCCATGATACCAAGTGAGAGAATTTCAAATCCTTTAGCAAAAAGACAACAGTAATGGGCAAGTAGACCACTGTGAGAAGAATCATAAGAACAGGAACAAGAAGGTCCAGCGGCCCGAAGCTGAACATGATGACTTTTCACTCTCAGCGTAGTAGATCAGAAAAGGTAGTTCAGAGATGACACTGATATTAATACAAGAAAGATATTATTATAGATTAATCAAAGGCTGTATTCAATAAGCTCATTATATACTGCCCCGAGTGTGTCAGTAGCAAGCATTTGTAATGGTGTAGCTCGTGACTGTTGAAGTGTGCAGGCCATTGTCTGCCCCACACCTCCAGTATATCCTATGCATGTATGTCTGGTGACAAAATCAGGTTTTGTGTCAAGCTTCGTCAAAGAGGTTACTAAATATTATGTGATAGCAATTCATGCAAGTACCAAAGACTAAGGGTAAAAATAATACCTGCAAGCAAGCCTTAATGCGGCTCGCCTAAAAGAGTCGCGCTGAATGTTTGTAAATTATAAGATCACAGCTCCAAGGGCCCGTTTAAGATAAGCACGTGCACTATTTAGCATTTGCTAGGGTAACTGTGTATAACCACAGCAAGCTATTTGATAATGGTAACTAATTGGGACTCAACAGAGGATTGCCTTGTTTATCTATGTACATGCGTCCTGCACACTAATTATAGTGCCTAAAAATACTATCGTGCGAGGAGTAGGGTAGTGCGAAATCTGGAAGCACAGCTGGAAGGACTAGTGTCCTAACTAATATTAATCAAGTAGAGTCTGTTTTGTACAGCTATAGTTTACAAAATGCCTGAGATTTTAAAACAATATGAATTCATGTTAGCATCACTAACACAGTGATTTGCGGATTACTATTCGAGTATCATGCTACAAATTCAAAGCAATCAATGGATTTATAACCCCAGCAGTAGATAAACTTCGTAGGGTTCGTCAATTACAATCAATTATATACATTCATGGAAAGGCTAGATGATATGAATCACATTGTAACTCCATAGTAAGAAGTTGATTCATATTAATTGAATTTCCCCTTGTTCAGCATGTAGTCGGGGTACTATGTGATGTCATATTTAGCTAAACTATACTCCTTAAAGATGAGTGACCAAGCTAATTTATGAGGGATATATAATGGTCGGTGCTATTTTGCATCATATTACATATAATAATATAGAGTGTTACACAAGACTGGAATAGGTGGCCCTAGTAAGTTGATAGGTACTTGAAAAATAGAGGCGAACTTCAAGCTTGTAATATTTGACATGCCACAACTCTAGTGGTGAATATGGAAGAATAAAACTACAATTGTATCAAAATACACCAGACAGCTGACTACAGATTCATACTACACATTAACACCTTGGGTTAAATTCACTGTTGGCTGCTATGTAAACTTATGACCTAAACCTTCCTGACAAAGACAACTGTCAAAGCAGTTTGCTTTTAAAGTATCTGACTGACCTGCCCTCTTGTAGCGTTCACTGACCTTCCATGATGTAGTCACCATTGGAAAGAGATACAAACTCGGGCGCACATGGTACTAGAACTGTTGGAACTGGTATCCTGATTATAGGGTGACGACAGTAAGAGTGGGGTATTTAGTTCCCTGGTCTTGACAATCACAGCCTGTTGAGAGAAGAAAGCTGCTACCTGTACAGAAAAGGGATTCGGAAGCAACTTATCTGCAGGGCAGATTAAAGGAATAATGTAAGACACATATCTTCAACAACAAGGCATCCTCAGCCGACTATGATGTCATCGAGTCTTGTTAAATATTCCTACAGACAAGGGCCACGGGCGCGTGTACCCCAGGAATGATATCCGCGGCCGTGATAGAGTTAAGCCTAATCAAGGGCAGAGCACCCCGCATGAAGTTTTTATCACCCATTTCTTGTATTTTACAATCTCTGGGATAATCTTGTTTAAGTAGAATATCTTGTATCCCCGCAGTGGGATGATAGCCCAAATTCATTCAAAACAGCAAAAGATAAACAGAAAAAATGTGTTCATGAACCCTTTCACATATGGATGTTTGTATGATAGACATTGTGAAAGAACCATGATCTACAGCAAAAGTAAGAGCCCTTAGTAGGAAAAAGGCAATTGTTTACGGGATTTCTATCAGGTAAGCTCTGTCCTTATTACAATTCGTGGAGCAGCAAGTGGATATCTGTACATGTCAGTTGCCAAGATATTTTATAGAAATCCAAGGTCTGCGACATGGTTTTCTTGGATGTCAAGAATGAGGCATTTACTGATTTTTGAATTTCCTCTTGTTTTTGGTATATCAGGCCTTTGATTTGTGCATACTATCACTCATGGTCTCCAATCATATCTATCACTCCGAGAAGCATGCGGGGACGGGTGACACTGCATGGTAGGGGTCGTGACAAAATAGTGCCGATCGAGCAGGACACCAGCAGCGGCCATATCCGTATGTGTACCCACAACACTCGACTTTTTCAGTCTCTCAGGTCGTTTTTTTTGTTTATTATCATTAGCCTTGCTTTAATTAGTGATGATTTGACATACCAATAGCTACAGGATGGTCCCACTCCTCCCAAAGAAGGAAATAATATTTCACCTAATATGCTGTAATACTTCGATGTAATCTTTGATATTCGGAGCTTTCCACAAAGTGATCTTTAACATTCGGAACTTTCCATAAAGGGATCTTTAACATTCGGAGCTTTCCATAAAGGATCTCAAATACTAAGGAGTCATGTGTGGGCTAGCAACTAGCACGAGCATGCTATGTTATTAACCCTGCGGTCATAATTAGAGTAACTCTACTGCGGCATTAAAACATAACCCCTACTTAGAAGTGCTGTGAAAAAAAAATAATAGGGCAGGACTGGTTGACAATGTGGAATAGTCAAGGTAGTGAGATTTGACAGATCCTGATCACAATCTATCATAATCCTCACCACTTAGTAGTGGTTGCGAACTTTGATAGAATAAATGAATAATTGAATGAGATCAGACAATGCCTCATATAATTTCTACTAATAGGGAACTAATATCTTTTGTATTCTCATCCTGTCTCCAATTTTATTATTCACTTATCTTTTGACACTTAATATATATAGGGATAGTCAAATAATGTTGCATGTGGAGCTGTGAAACAGTAAATCAGGCTCTCAAGGAACATCACATGCAAGGGATAAGTATATACTCACCCACAGTTGGCATGGGCTGCAGTGTTTGAAGAAACCCCAACACATTCACAATGATACAATAATACCATGGTATCATCTCTGTTCTGTCATATCTTGCATGACAGCAAATAAGACTCCCATTATAGTATACGTGATGCTCAGGAGAACACTAGTTGATTATGAACTTAGTATATAGAACTTATAATTTGGATCACGTTTTGTATCTGATTAATAACTGGTTAATTAGTGTTTCTAGAGGTGTTGTTATTACTCTAATGCACATCAAAGTGAACAGAGATATAGATAAAAGAGTCTAAAAGCTTTTCCTATTCATTGCCACGGTGGATTTGAAATCATCATAAAATATATACAGTGCGTAACAAATCAACAGGGCTTGGCTTCCATCAAGATTTCATCAGGCCAAAAAGATACAATGTTGGAGCGGTAACAAGCACCGAGTTACTAACTACTAATTATTTGTAAATCATGGGACGGCGCAATAAAACTGAACTTGTATCAAGCGAGGGAGCAGGTTCCCAGCAATATTGATGCACGCAATCCCTATAGTTGCCTCGGAAAACCCTGTTTACAACGGCCTCCGAATTGAAATGCTTGCAGTAGTTTCCTGCCCTCCGTTTTCCTCTCTGGTAGAAAGGGATTACGTACTCGAGTCCGAGGATAGCCGAGTTCTCGATTCTGTAAAGTATATATATGTGCACCGTAGCAGCTTCCTTCAATGAACAAGATCGGTATCGTTTTCAGTGCTGAAAGACCCCCAAGAATTCCAAGTAGATTATTCTTTCGTCGACGTTAAGAATGGCAGTCCCCTCGAATGAGTACAACTATGACGTCGAAAAGGTGCGGGAGACTGAATATCCTATGCTCAAAGGTACCTCTCAGAGAAACCGGTCTCAATGGTCAGGAGGAGACGCTAATTAAGAATGTTCTGAACATCTCAGGAGAAGTATACCTGGACCATGCAGGTACAACGCTTTATTCCAGTTCTTTAATCAGAGAATACCTGGCCGAATTGTCTGGAAACCTGTACGGAAATCCTCACTCGGAGTCAAGATCGTCTCGGCTCTCGACCGCCCGCGTCCAGGAGACCCGCGAGCATGTTCTACAGTTTTTCCATGCTGATCCAGAACAATTTGATGTTGTGTTTGTTTTGAACGCAACAAGTGCAATCAAGTTGGTTGCGGAGACACTTACATCTCTTCAAACAGGGAGCTCAAACCGTCCTCTCTGGTACGGCTATCACATTGACTCGCATACGAGTGTTGTTGGCCTCCGGCAGCTTGCCAGTGCAGGATACCGCTGTTTCGAGTCAAATGATGCGGTTGATCACTGGCTTGAGACAGGGTCTCACATAGGTGAAGATAAAAGTATAAGATCGTCACCCTCTACAACAGAAAAACCCCCAATAGGACTCTTTGCATACCCAGGACAGTCCAATATGACCGGCCATAGGTTACCATTGAGCTGGCCTGGGCGGTTGAGGCGCTCTAATATTACCGCCAATCAGGAGATGTATTCACTCTTGGATGCAGCTGCATTGGCCTCCACTGCACCATTGGATTTCAGTGATCCGTCAGAGGCAGCAGACTTTACCGCCATCAGTTTTTACAAGATCTTTGGCTTTCCAGATCTTGGTGGACTAATCATCCGCAAAGATGCCGCACATATCTTCCAGGAGCGACTTTATTTTGGTGGTGGAACTGTGGATATGGTCATATGCAATGGCGATCCGTGGCATTCCATGAAGAGCAGCTCTGTTCATGCGGCCCTCGAAGATGGGACAGTACCATTCCACAATATTATAGCACTAGACTGTGCTTTGACAAACCATAAACATCTGTACGGTGGTATGGAACAGGTCTCTCGCCATACTTCAAGGCTAACAGCTATGCTGTATCACGGACTATCCTCCTTACGGCATCAAAATGGTAAAAAAGCTTGCCAAATCTATAAAGATCACTCATCGAGTCACGGGGATAGTAGGACACAGGGAGCAGTGATCGCTTTTAACATTCGATCCGAAGATGGCACATGGGTTATGCTGTCGGATCTGGAAGCTGCCGCCAATGAGCACCATATCCATCTTCGAACAGGGGATGTCTGTAATCCAGGAGGTATTGCCAGACACCTTGAGTTAGCACCATGGGAGCTTCTTAGGAACTTCATGGGTGGTGTTCGCTGTGGCTGTAAAAACATCATAATCGGTCACAAGCCCTCTGGTATTGCAAGAGTGAGCCTCGGGGCTATGACCAACGTCCAGGATGTGGAAACATTCGTGAATTTCGTGCAACAGACCTTCGTCTCAAGTCTATCGTTATACATCCAAAACATCCTTGTATACCCCATTCGAGGGTGCAGTGCGTGGTGGATCGCAGACACGACACCTGTTAATCTTACAAGTAACGGCCTCCACTGGGACGGGCAGTGGTGCTTGGTGGACCTTCAACACGGGACCATATTGACGCCAAAAACAGCACCTCGAGCATTGTTAGTGCACCCCGAGATTGATTCTGACAGTCATACCCTTCGAATCAAAGTTCATCGATCTCTCTGGACTTATCCCATGATTCATAGCAATGTTGTGGTGCATATGGACCGCGAAGTCTCAGATCTTGGTCATACAAGCTCAAAGAAGGACATCCACATGTTCTGGGACGAAGATACAGGCACGAGTGTGCAATTGCTGCTATACAGAGAACTGGAAGTACAAACATTCTTGACTGCCGCCCTGGGCATTCACTGCACCCTGGCCCGAATTGTCGATAAGGAACCCCGGGACGATGACAACGAAACGACGCCGAATAATCTTGACGCGCTGACCATCATGGACCAGTCACACCAGTCGAATGATTCTGGCCTCACAAATGGTTCTCACAAGTTGAATGATTATGACCTATCAAATCACCCTCCGCAAGTTATTGGTTCCCAGCGACCTCGTCAAGTCTCTGTCGCTGAGACCCTGGGGGCTAATATTGTGCTGGCGCCCGTGTGTACAAAGGGATATACACATCAGATTGGGAGACACTATTTTGCATATATCGGACAACGCCGGCAAGAAGCAAATGAAGTCGAGGAAGAAGGCGTCCGTCAGACATACCATCTCGCCCAAATTCGTGAATCAGAATTGTCCACACAAGGGAAACTTCCCAACGAATTTCGGGCAAGTTGCGTAACGAAGAAACTCCTTTCTAATGCAATGAATAGAAGCGACAAGATTGCTTATCCACAGATCCATACAGGACAAATCGTTTTGGCCTAAATAGACCCATTCTTGAACTGCTATCTTTTCGCCAGTATCTTTGGACGCAGATCTGGTGAAGTTATTTTTCTAGTTCATAATTTGCAAAAGTTTGTTATCTTGAAACATTTTAGCCCAGAAGATTGATCATCAGTACCATTTGAAACCTTTAGTACTTAGTTATATTGCATAATTCTACGAGTAGCCCTTACGACATAACCGTGAGGCCCAATCCCTGAGGATATAAACCAATCCAGTAAGCGTCAAAGTAGAGGAGACTCGCATCGCGTCACAAAGGTTAGACAGGGCAACGGTGAACATGTGAGCCGGAGCCTCCGGCTTTGTTAGGACATTGTAGATCCCAAAAGGCGGGACTGAGAGACAGTCGGGAGATATGACCGCGACTAGTGCGGAAGGCGCATTGGCTTGTAGATTCAAAGTATTGATACAAATAAAATGGAGTATGGAGCTACCTTTGCGAGTCTCGCTGCGCTACACAGTAGCCTGTATAGGGAGCTTTATCTACTGTAGCTGAATGCCTCGAAGTACTTTAACATGCCGTTCCTCACCGACATGTGCTGTTATTCATCGCCATAGGCCGGTGGCTTGTATCCGAAAGCCATCCATCTTTTCCCGGCCGTCAAGGTTCGTGGAGTGTATGGGAGGGAGTATCAGAAGACTGGTATGGGGAGTGCAGGAATATTAGCGGGATATTAGACGAAGTGTGGTATCTAAGACTTCGTCAGCTAGGATGGAATATCACATACCCGGAATGAAAGAACGTCGGTTATGGAGGAGTCAGCACTAGGTGGGTGCATTCAAGTCATACTTTCTGTTAATCAAATCAGAGGTAACATTGGTAAAACTCCAGATATCCAACCCGTATAACAACAGGAACCTAAGATCAGCTGCAAGGTTCAAAAATCATCGCGATCAATGAAGAAATTAACAAGTATGATAAAATTTCATGGTTTGAACTATAATCGAAAATTATGAAGCAAGAGCTGCGATAGTACAAGTGATCAAATAGTCAAGCTTATTCGAGTAACCTGCTTCCCCTGATAAACTTGGTTTCCTGGGTGTCATGTTGTCTCTTTTATTCACTGGTGTCTCTCCTATACCATCACATGGACAGACACAGCACGTGTGATATTTTAGCAAATTAACTATACATGTGTCATACTAAGGACTCGGCCATCACAATATCATCCATCCCAGATCACCGTCCCGGTACATTCTTCCACCCTGTCATCTCCGCCTCGGTGTCCATGCCATTGGCTCGGATTAGCAAAACAAAGGACCAGGAGGTCCCATGAAACAATTATCTTTCGTGACATTTCATGATGATTTCAAAAATACCAATTAGCACCTTGCATCCCTACTAGCTTCAGTCCAATGATGTTAGCCTTACGCTTGAGGGGGGGGTCTGTGGTGGTGGATCCACCTCCGATTCCGATCGGTCTCAACCACAGCCCGGGCCCGTCGATCAAAATGCAGGCCACCCGGAGTGGACCTCCCACTCCACCCCTCTGGTATGAAGTGGTATCGCTCTACCGAGGCAGAGCATCCTGTATGTATTTATGACCGCGCCCCCTCCCTCCTTTCGTTGGCATCATCGTTGTCTCACTGAGTCCCCTGTATGGATATTTCGATGCCAACATGGGCAAGCCAAACAAGCCAAGGAAGCCCCAGACGCCGCTGGACCAACTGCCGATCCAAGCGAGGCTTAAGATCAAAAAATACTCGCCGGATGTCTGCGATGCGGCGATTAAGGGACAAGAGATTCCGGTCGCACTGGGCTATGAGCTGACGCGGTTCAGTGTGATCCGGGGCATCCGACACCATCATGGCTTCGCCCAGGAGCTGCGCGGAGTGACTCCCGAGTTCACTCGTGCCTTGAATGCCCGCGATATCATGAGCGGGATCATTCCCACAATATCACACCCGGATGAGACTCCTTACTGCATTTGGTATCCGGATATCCCAACGGAGCATACCCTGCGAGCTCTGGTTCAGCGCTATCCCGATATGATTTATCAGGCGGCTCGTGCCTGTGCCATCGCTGGATACTTCGACCTATACAAAAAGCTTGATCCTGTCCCAGAGGTCCATGTCGCAGAAGAAGCTAGCCATGCCGGGGTCCAGAGGATCAGCAAGGGAAGCCAGGAAATTGCCCGCCATATAATATCACAGCCCGTGAAATTCGCCATTATGAACGACTACACGCGGACAGTCGATGTTACCAACCCTCGCATGGCTTTTTTGAATGGCGACACTGCGGTTTATTCTAGTCTGTCTGCCCGACGAAAACATCTGGAGCCGAGCGAGCTTTCTGATTTCTACCAAAACTTCTGGGATCCTCATTGCCGGTTTGCCTCTTTCAATATTACCGAGGATTGGGGTATTGATGATCATGACCAGGAGGAGCCCGAGCCCGCAGAGAGTTACTTTCCGCTTTTGTACGGGCCGCTACCAAGGGACCTGCCTCCCATCAACAAGGATAAATTGATACTGATAGCCGCCTACTGCGGTGATATCGACCGTTATACACGTTTACACAGACCGTCGCTGATTCGCAGTGAATTCCTCTGCGTCATCCGTGGCATCTACCATAACCCGTTCTGGGCGAAATGGTGGAGCACGCAGATCCCCAAGCATACAGGGTCGCGGTTCACGGAATTTGAGGAAATCATGATCCAGCGGGCAGTCAACGCTCGGCGTATTATGTCTGATGATGTCACATGGGTCACGCCAGACACGCCGAAAGATCTGCTCCCGAGGAACATCTGGTTCCCGCAGCGAGCTTGTCCAGAAACGTACGAGCGGTTGGCTCGTATTAGGCCCGATATGCTGTGGCTATGCCTTTATGCCTGCATTGTGGCCAATTATCGAGACCTGTGGGATAAACTCTTACTACCACCGTCCTCTGCCACCCTCGCCATTGGTCAGATGCCACCGGTTGCCGAGGGGGGCGAGGCCCAAAAGTTGAAGCTTCAACGGCTTTCAGAGATAGCTGACCCGATACTATGGATGGAAGCCAAGGCATCGCGCAACGATCACTACCAATGCGATATCAAAGCGGCTGTTCCTGACGCTATACAGTCACTCGAGCCCCACTCAGGTCGTGCCCCTGCATTAATGTTTTATTACTCGTCGCAGGACCTATACTACCCTACACCAGACAGTCGCTCCAGATGGGTGCACACAAACGATCCGGTTCATGTTTCTGTCTCCGGCGGCAGAGTTTATGGCGAGGACTACGATCGATATGACGGCGTGTCGGCTCAAGTGCCTGGTATAGACTTCGCCGTGTTTGCCAGGGATGCAGTCGGCGTAGATCATGAGGTTTGGAAGGAGAAGGGAGACACTTGTCTGAAACTACACGAAGTGTACGAATTGCTGGACATAGGGGGTTCTTGTCCCTAGCATCAAGTTGAGATCCGTGGAATTGTGAGATCTACAATCGGCCACACCTCGGCTGACTTGCATTCTTGTCCCACGTACAATAAAGTTTTTTTAAGTTTTTTTTTTTTGAAAAAAAAAAAAATCTTGCAACTTTTTGCGACTATTTACAGTCCTTCACAGTCATCAATATCATCACTATTCTCATCATTCTCATTAGTACTCCACAGGTTATGATTCCGGAGCCTCTACGGCTACTGTGGTATCCATTCCTCTACCTAAACTATCCTTTCTGGCGCCTTTCTCGGTCATCTCACATCTCATCCGTCATCTCGCCACCTTGTCAAAGTTTTCAACACGTCCACGTCCATGTTCACGTATACGGATACCCCAATTACCAAGTCCATCTCTATCCAACGGCAGATGATATCGATGATTGGAACGCGAAGACGTGGGGCTGGCGCGGTTGTCGCAACCTCCCACCCAACGGTACGTGATGGATCCCTTCCAGCAGCATAACGGTACTAAGCTACCAACCGATTCTAACAGCGAATCAGGTAAAATATGCGTCAGTCAGGGTGACCCGCCCATGCCTGTAGCGATGCGAAATGCTGTCTGTGGGCCGCAAAAGCCCGGGACTAGGAGACCGGAGAACTGGGATGACATTGCGGAATTGAACCCTTGTCCACTCAACGCCTGCTGTGATGTTTGGGGGTATGTCTCCAAGTTTGATATGTCGATCTTCCTCCCCAGATACCGTGATTCTAACTCGAGTTTATAGTCAATGTGGTATCACTCCCAATTTTTGCACGGCAACAGAGGTACGCTCTCCCCCATTTTGGTTCAACCCCGTGCCTTCTTCTTGTCACCCCGCCCCCCCTCCATCTCCATCAAGGGATAAAATGACGGTCCGCCTATGCTGACCCCCAATAGTCGACCACGGGCGCGCCGGGGACGGCCAAAAATGGCACGAACGGATGCATCTCCAATTGTGGTATCCATCTGAAGCTAAACACTGACGCCCCTACCGAGCCGGCTGTCATGGCATATTACGAAGCATTCAACAATCAGCGGCCGTGTCTACAGCTTTCGGTAGAAACGATCGAAGAAGTGACCAAGACGGGTGTTGAGGATGGCGATCTGGAAATTGATTCGGCGTGGAGCCACATCCATTTCGCGTTTGCCAACATCACAGAGGACTTCAAGGTCGACATGACGGGTGTCGAAGACGAGTTCGAGGCTTTCAAACGGTTGAAGACGCCCTCAGGTTACAAAGGAGCCATCAAGCAAAAAGTTCTTTCATTCGGCGGGTGGTCCTTTTCAACTGGCCGCGACTCATACGCTATATTTCGCAAGGGGGTTACCGACGTCCAGCGTTCACTCTTTGCCACCAACGTTGTGAACTTCGCCAAGGACAATGGTTTGGATGGCTTGGACTTTGATTGGGAGTATCCTGGCGCACCGGACATTCCTGGAATTCCCCCCGGTGATCCGGGGGACGGCGAGCGCTATCTGAACTTTCTGAAGGGGGTTCAGGACCAACTCCTATCTGACAAGATACTTTCTGTTGCTATCCTGTCCTTATACTACCTGAAGGGATTTCCTATCCAGGAAATGTCAGATATTATAAGTTATATGGTGTTCATGACATATGATCTTCACAGTCAGTGGGACTGGAATAATAGTCATGCCATGGATGATTGCAATAGCAGCGCCTGCCTTTAATCTCATGTTAATACTACTGAGATTGCGCTCGCCTTCTCCATGATTACCAAGGCCGGCGTACCGAACAACAAGATTTTCGGTGGGGTGGCTAGCTATGGCCGGTTATTTGAAATAGAAGATCTATCCTGTCATGGTCCCGGGTGCAAGTTTACCAGCCCGGAGTCCAGAGCTATCATGGGGGGATGCACCAGGACTCCGGGCTACATTGCAGAAGCTGAGATTTACTGGTGGCTCGAGAATGGGGGTGAAGATATCACCACCTACTATAATGACGCGAGCGCCGCGATAATCACTTACTTGGTCAATGGGACCTGGGTGTCCTATAACAACAAGACCCATTAATTATCCCGGCTTCTGGATTGGTGGTACGAGGGTCATTTTGCTGGGACGGCTCTTTGGGCGCTGGATCTGACCGAATTTGTCTCCCAATACCCGGATGGTACACACATCAAACCGACGTACCCAATCAACTGCACGCGCTCATTTGACGATCTCGATGATTTGGCCTCCGCTACCGGCATTGAGGATGAGTGCATGAACATCTACATTCTGCAGGCCCTGTCTAAAAATCTCACAGCATCCCTAGACAAGTATCAAGACCAACTAGACCACGATTACGACCAGAAGTTCGGCTGGTACGAGGACGCTATTCGAGGATCAGCGCCCCAATCGCTGGAATCGTTTGTTAACGTCAACGCTTCGTCATATTTTGACTGCTCTGTGACCAAATGGGGTCGGAATCATACCGACTTCGGCTGCTTCTCCGACAGCGACAGCGAGGACGAGGTATACTGGACTCCCCGCAACACGACCCAATTCGAAGCCGACCTGTTCGCTTCCTCGGGGATTTCGGCCGATTGGTTGGCATACGGTCACCACAAGGAAAGGCTCAATAGCGCCAAAAGTGGGGTCAGCTGGACTGCCAATTATTACGGCGCTCCCTATCTAAAGGACGAATTCCAAATCAGCAATCCTAAGGACATGATCGCCAAGAGGCTATCAGCGATTGCCGACTTTCACGAGAATCTGGACTTTACGGCCTTCCTTGCCCACCAATCTATGTATATGGGCGACGTGAGCGACGCCGTGGATGGCGCATCGTTGGTGGTGTTCATGATCTCCTCCTCCGTCACCAGTATGTCCCAAGTGGCGCACGTGGAGGAAGATTACGAGGATGAGAAGATCAAGTCCCTCATCGTTTTGTTCGTCTCGGCCATCCTCTTTGTCATCCCCGGTATCCAGGAGGGAGCCGAGGCCTTGGAACTGGTGATGATCGCCAACATGCTGAGAATGGTCGGCACAGTCGGGGATGTGGCCATGAGTGCGTACGACGTGATTCAGGCCAAGGACAATGCCCCTGCGGCGGTCTTTGCTGCTCTGCTGGGCGGCCTCGGTGCACTGAATATGGTAAAAGCGCCAAAGAGCTTTGGCACCGCTGCCAGAGCAAGAAGGGGGATGAGTGCGGAGCATGTGGAATCGTTGGGAACGGAGGTGAGGGGAGGGCTGGGCCAAGTTGAGCAGTTGGTCAAGCGGTGCTTTTAGACATCTCACTTTGACAACTTCGTCAATTGATTTGTCATAAGGCTTGTCTATGATTCGATGCATGCAGTTTCTTCTGCTAAATACGAGGGACTTGTTGCATGATATATATATACCTATCATCCAGTATGTTATTAAAATTGAAAATCTACATAGGACCAAGAGCAGTCCAAGTGATAATCCGTTGAATCTCAGCTTCTGCGTCAAAGTCATGTACTCTTCCTGCCGCGGTCCTGGTATACCATTTCATTCACTGCCCAGCTGAACCCCAGGTCATTGACTTGCCGATCAAGTCAGTGATTATACGGCTCTCAGCGTAACTCACCTAGCTGATCTCGGGAATACCTGAATTTCAGGTCGAGCAGGGGAACATGGCCACCTCTAATCCTGAACGAGTGCTATGTTTTGGGTTCTGGGAACAGAAGCTCTAGCTATCCCCCATGGTCCCTTGATTATCATCCATATGAGCGGGACAGGCAAATGCCAGCACCTGGAAATTTCCGAATATATCAACTCTTCTCCGATTTGTCACTTCAATCCCTTCCGTATGTCGTGATAGTTACATATTTTGGCGCGCACTCCGCCATTGTGCTAAACAAGATTCATCCGGTACAAAATCTCATGATGGCCCACATGGCTTTTCTAGTCTCCTGAATGTTCTTGATATGAAGGTTCTTCGACCCTAAACCTGCTTGATCCTATACTTGAGAAAGAAACTAGGTGTATACATCTAGTATTGATCGGGTTAGCTTCCCGGATCCAATTGCTCAATTCGCGGAGATCCACTAATATATAGTGCAGGTGATGGTTTTGGCTAACCTTTTTTGCTACTCTTCATAACCAGCACTTGTATAATGGGGGTGTCTTGGTTTGAGATTGTGATTTAGAACATGGCTTCTAACAAACTTCTCGCACAGGTGGTAATTTTAGTTGGCTTGGACCATGACATCTTGGAGGAGAAGGGGAACGCTTATCTGACACTGTACGAAGCGTACAAATTGCTGGGTGCGGGCAAAGCGTCTTACCAAGATCTGGCAGAAAGTCACCATGGCATAATGTTTAGGTGTGGTCTTTCCTGTCTCTTGGCCAAATCTCGCCCAAATTTAGTGTTGGTTTTGTCCCGGTCAAACTGGCTAGAACAGAGATAAGATCTTTGAAGACTCCTTCTAGGGACTACATTGCTATTATAGGTGTAAGAATTGGACACGGAGTAGGCTAAAGAAATGGAAAGTTGAAAGAATACTAATGATAGTCGTAGTAATAATTTGAAACTTGTGTACCCGTAGACCAGTCTATTCGACAAACTCTTGCACCTGCTGGCGCTACGCACAGAGCAACTAAATGATCATCTCCGTGACTTGCTACCAACCTCTTTCTTTATACATAACATAATCGCCCACTGTTATAACAGAGTTGACCTTACAATATCTAGTGTCGGCTTAGTTAGCAGCAATATCCGCATCGAGATATTAGAGCTGAGCGGTTGTGGCCTGCATCCCCCGGCAATTCATGACCGTCTACTCGGCGGCGGTGGTATCATTGAATGGGATACCACCTGTGCGCCACTTTTCAATCATTAAACAAGATATTAATAATGTGCCATTGTACGAGGTTCGAAATGACTTACCTGGGCGGTCTTGCTCATCCCACGATTCCGGTTCCAGCAGGGCAGCATGACGGTACGTGATGGCAAATGGGTGCCATTTCTCGGCTCCCGGGAATCAGTGCTCTTGTCATCCCCCCATAGTCACTTAGTCATGGTCCCTATGAGCGGGAAAGCGACTTATGCCGGATGCTGGGCATCTCAATATATGAGCACTTTGCCACTTCAGCTCTTTTCAGGTGCAAAACCTGACATTAGCACCGTCGTGTGTTATCGCATCAGATTTTCGCATCTAACAGAAGAGTGCCCGGGAGCATTACTTGGACTTAATCGCGATCGCTACGGAATTATAACCTCGTGCGAGAAGAGGTCCTTTGCTACCTGGCCGAGTTCAAACTCTATACAGTCCAAAGGAGAGCTAGGCTAGACCGCTCGGTTTACGCGACATGTACTATTTCCACCGCAAATTCGACGGTTACATGGTCTGCCAAATGGGCGTGGATGTCCTGGGCGACGTTCATTCGGCCTCTATTCATCACATCATATGGCGGTGGGCAAGCAGCGAACAGTGTATTACAGATTTTGGATTCTGTGATACGTTGATCGAGGACTGCATGATGAAATATTCAAAGTTTCCGTACCACGTCTGTGTCTTATTTCTCGAATCCTATCTCCCAGCCCACAGGACCCAGATCCATTGTGGGTAGTAAACTCAAGACGTTCAGCAGGTGAAAATTGGACTGTTTGGCAAGGCTCATCCATAAGTTAGGCACCCAGGCCTCTGAATTCTGCTCCTCGAGGCGGGTGACCGGTCTCCTTTAAGGAGAGAGGTAGTAAACTCCAGAAGCGTGCACCATCTCTCCGGAGGCAAGCAGAATCACCAGTGGACAAGTCACCATGACATGAGGTCTTTAGCCGAGTGAATGGGATGCATGTGGAAGTAGGTCAGAAAGACAACAAGATCGCTCAACCAGAACAGAGGCAGTATATCGTGTAGGTGACTGAGAAGCTTGGGACTTGATCACTTTCTGTAACATTGACGTCGATCATTGTTCCATTGCTCCCGACCCAATACGGCAGTAGCAACGCGGGAGTTTGGCCAACCTCACAGGTGGAAGCAGCGATTGTTACGGAACCTCATCTAGATTCCCAGGTCAACAATCCCACATACATAATTTCCAAGAAGCTATCGGTCATAGATATAGACTTCACGGCTCTCTCACCACCTATTCCACGTACAGGGATACCTGCGACGCTGTGGATTAGGGTTGTTGGTGTCCAACTCCTACACGGGACCAAAAAGCAGTCCAGGTGATTAACTGTCAAGTCTCAGCTTCTGCACCACGCCTGTCAATCATAAAATGATGTAGGTGAAGACTGATATATGTGACAGAATTAGTCAGTCCTTCGTCATTTGCGTGGCGATGACGTCTCTGAGATCGACGTCATATCTCTTCAACACGACTCGCTACGTTCCCAATGGCTGTAATTTCCACTCAATCTACAGTACATTGACGAGCGAGACACACTCTCTCAGTACTCAACATTTTAAACTCTCCGGAGGCAGACCACCGCAACGACAATGCAGGACAAGTTCAACGTGGTCGTCATCGGCGACGAAGCCGTTGGGAAATCAGCCCTCATCATACGGGTAAGTTTCATGGAGGCCGGAGAATATAATACCGACACAATATGGGCGCGAACTGAGTGACTTCGACAGCTTTGCCTTGACCACTTCCCCGAAAGTCACGCGCCGACCGCGGACGACACGATCCGCAAACCGGCGGTCATCGACAACAAATCGTGTCTGGTCAACATCATCGACACGGCCGGACGCGACGAATACGCCTCGCAGCTTGAGGAGTGGATGAGCCACGGGGACGCCTTCCTCCTGGCCTACGACGTCACCTCGCGAGCCTCATTCGACCATGTTATAAAGTACTACAAACAGGTCCGTCGGATGAAGCTGGGTCGCGGGCTGGCCAAACTGAGCTCGGAGCGGATGCTGCTCCGGTCGCCACACGCCGTGTCTGTGGTGCTGGTCGGTAACAAGATCGATCTGGCGGAGTCGAGGGTGATATCGACTGAGGAAGGCAGACGGCGGGCAGCGTCATTAGGATGTGGCTATACGGAAACCTCCGCCAAGGAGAATGTCAATGTAGAGGAGCCGTTTGTCATGGCCGTCCGATGGCTCCGACAGGGGCGACGACCCGACTCTGAGGCTGACGCAGACGCGAAGAAGTCGGGGTGTTCGGGGCTGAAGGCTTGCCCACCAGGACGATCCAAGTGTACGATCTTATAGGGGAAATATCGGGCAAATATCGGGTCCTTGTTCCATGCCGGCTAAATGATATGTGATCGTCGCGGCTCCTTCCGGACTAAGATTTAGTTACACGTCCCCGCCGTCTCCCTCTCCCTTTCTTGTGACAACGGCAGTCCGTCACACTCGGGGAAACCACCGAGATGCTTCCTCCGCATGGAATCTGGGGATAATTCACCGCTCCTCCCGTCACTTGGTCCACGCGCAAGAGTGAGGGTTGGTGGCCCATTTGGAATGGAAAACCTCCACGACCATCCGCAATGATGACATCATGATACCCTCACCCGTCCGATTCTATATCATCGGCCAGGACAGATACAATAAACCTTCCACTGACATTATTATATTGTGAGACGAACAAACCACCGATCAAGACTATGAAGCTTTCTCCGGGCGGTTCCTCCGTCTCTCTGTCGCGGTGTCCGCTCCTACCTCCACCGGGTTGTCGCCAAGACCGCCGTTGGACGTATCGACGGGGCATTCATCACCATCCTGAAAATTTGCATTCGGGCATTTGTCGCCGGTCGCCTAAAACAGTCGTTTTCACTGCCGTGTTGTGAGGGGGGATGATTCGCGTTGATGATGACGGGCGGTTTCCCGCACCACTCCAAGACATGATTACGGCGTACGCGTACCTCCTCCACGGGCTCGATACCCCGTCCCGGATTCTCGTCAGCGGCGACAGTTGCGGCGCCACCCGCGCCATGGGGTTCTCTGCTACCGCTACGCCCACCCGATTCTCCCGCCCCGGCAGTTCGTCTGGTTCTAGTGGCGGCGTCCGTGGCGCCCCTTTGGCATTCGTTCCCGCTGCCGGCACCGGCGTGTTCGTGACCGGGTAGTGGGGAGTAGGAGGTGATGGTGAGAAGCATCGGCTGCTGGCGGACCACCTGCGAGACGTGCCCGGGAACTGAGACAGGCATGTGGAGGTATGTCGGGGGCACGCATACAGGACTCCAATGACGGGAGGAAAGACGACGCATACACATATATATCTATTGGGTCCTCTGGCTTACATTTCACGGACACATGGGGGAATCAGGTAGAACGCAGACAAATCAGCGTGGGAATGATCGTTTTCAAATATAGAACATAGATAAAAATAAAGCACAGCAATCCAAAACCCCTCTATGGACTAGTACAGGACCCCTGACATCGGCTCCGACATAGGTGCTCCATTCCGTTCTAGCGTAGGAAGCAACAGGTTCTCCGGTCCTCCAGGGAACCGATTTAGCGCCACCAGGGCTTGGCCGCACTGCTGGAGGGGGTGGGAGTCGGGCTGAAGGTGGGAGGCGAAGTGGGCGTGTAGATGGGAGTAGAGGTGGGGATGGCCGGGGTGGTCGTGTTCAGACGAATGCCACCATGGTTAATGAGAGGACGGTGACGACCGGGCTACGACATTAGCATCTGAGACTCATATCCCGCGAAGAGAATAAAGGAAAGAGCTTACCGTAGCAAGAGCCGTGGGCACCAGGGCCAGGGCAGCGATCGCACCGAGGACAGGGAAGATCTGCATGATGGCTGGGAATTGTGATGCGATATCTGGTCTGTATAAAAGAAGGACTGGAGGGGCTATACAAGCATGGACAGGTTCAACCAGAGCTGGAGGCGTCGGGTCCAGCTTTATAGATTTCCCATTGCCTCGTCGGAAATTTGGGAGCGCGGATCATTCTCAACGGGAGTTGAGACTCAGGAGATAGCATTCGACAGGGTCTGCAACTGGACATGGGTCACGGCCATCGTCGGTTAGCCCTCCTAGGCAAGAGTGATTCGGCATTGATAGGTCGAAACGGAGCCCGACGGGGGGGAGCAGGTTGGACAATGTGACCTGCACGGAGAAAACACTGACGATCATGGCCGGAGATACAGACGGTCCCTGCGACCCTGAACCGGGACACGGTTGACGACCGATATTGGGATCCAGGGTCAGTGGTGCGTATCGTCCACTGACAGGTGTTGGGTGGAGATGCTGAAACACACCACGATTCAACCAGACCAAAAATAAGTGAACCGGCGGCAGAACCGGCTTCTCCGTCAGGGGAGAGAACCAATAAGGGAGAAGAAGCAGGGGCATGAGAGCCACTTCACAGATTTTGCGATACGATGCTCGAACCTCGCTCGTCTCTAGACCTCTGCAGATCATTAATCTGGTTGGCCCTGATACCCCTCGAGTGGGATGTGTTGGGGATTTCCCACAACGCGTCTCGAGTAACACGACGGTATGTATCAGAATGACGGCAGGAAGAAGAAGATAGACGGAATTATCCACAGTATTAAACTCCACCAAAGCAGCCGGATCCTACAGCCATCCTGTGGTGGTCTTATTTTTCCTGGAGGCGTCACTAGGGATAACCTTAACTCCACCATCACTAGCTTTCGGATTCACAACAGAAGGGGAAAGACAAGCCCGCTATGTCCCTGGAATATCCACACGGCAACGACTGGAGGCACTGTATGCCGCCAGCGTAACATGGCGCGCATGGTGCCGATCGCACCGGAACCAGCAGGGGTAAGATGGAGTCCGTCGGCGTTGGTGATAGGAACAGCATTGGTTCCCCTGGTCGCAAACCAGGGTCTCTAACAGGCGGACTCTCTTTCTCTCATTCGTGTTCTGCAACTTTTCTCCCCTGGTTGACCCCTGATAGTGTGTGCCCCTGCGCGAAGGACCTCATCACTGACCCGCAACGGTCGGAAATCTGCCAGATATCATCCTGCCTAGACACCGGGAGGGGGACCTGCCACCATCACCCAAAAGGGCATGGATCCGTCGATCACGGACCTGTGGCGGCGAAGGATCCTATCGTGCACGACCTGTCGCCACCATTCTGTAGCGCGGGGTCCGTCCGGGGATACTCCGTTGCTGATCGACATGAAGATAGAAAAGATCATCGAACCATGGTCGCATCGCAGAGACGGGGCAGATCACGGCGTCCGCAACGAGCGAATTGCACCCAGCGATCCCCTTATCTATCCATGTTTCCCATTCTTCTGCGCGGATGCCGTCTACAGTTCATATCAACGTCCACCATGGAGCCAGTGGACGACCATGATCCCTGAATGGGAGCCGCCCATTGACGACGATTGCCAGTCCCCTCCATTTAGCCGCCAGAGAGGATATTACCGTCGTGCTGGAAAATTATATTGATATCCGATAGCACCATGACAACGCACAACCGACACCGAATGGCGCCCGGAACTGGTGTCAGATCGACAGGAATGGTTTCGTTCAAGGAATACCGTGCGAAGACTCTGCACACGACCATCCTCACATCAGGAAAACAGGAATAGAATGGCAGAGAAGCGAATTGAGTACGATACTCGGATCAGGGTCGCTGTCTGCCGGTCAGGCCTCAGCAGGACCACCAGACAGCCGCGAGTCTGAATCACCACGAATCACGTCGCCCTTGGATAAAGACCAAAACCTTCAGGCGGTCGATCCTCGAGGATCGTCGGCGCATTCCATCCGGCGACATGTGTTTGGTGGATAAAATCGACGGTAGACGGGTGGTGCCAACTGAACGATTGCAGATCGTCAGGGGCAGCGATCCGATCGTGTGAATCATCCGGCTGAGGTTGTTCCTGACGGACCGTGGCTCGAAATACTATGTCATCCAGCTCCATTAGTATGCTTCCCAGGGCGAGGTCCAAGCCACTCTTGTACGTGCTCCATCCGGGCCGGGGCGACCAACTGGTGTGGGATTGTCGAGGCTCGCGACCGTTTCCTGAGGCCCGTCATCGCTATCTTGGACCATGGATAAAGGAAGATGTGGATACAAGCCTTCTATATACTATCTGGTGCCTGTTTCTCCCATGGTGGGGAAAGACCCGCTATTCCAAGCCCGCACAGCATCCACCTTGATGCCCATCAGCGGAGACAGTATGGTCTCCAGACTGGGGCCAAGGAGATCAGATGGTGGGCAGAAGGAAATGGCTAGAACAATGGATCCAGGCCAGAGCATGCCCATCCGTCAGAGCATCACGCCCGCAACAGGATGTCGGAGGGGATAAAGATACAAGTTCGAAAGAACGGGCCAAGAAAACAAAGGCGAATATATGCATATATTAAGTCTAATGTCTAAATACACAGTCGAAGAAATCGCATCGTCATCGACAGCCGTGATCATTAGCAAACAGTCTAACTTCAAAGCGACCGTCTTTAAATACTCTATGAAACCCATGACAACCAATGGTATGTACAAGCCTTCACCGCTCCATGTATAAACGGAACATTATCCGGGGGTCGGAATGTGGCCAGGCCACGTCGACCGACCGCAGGGTCTTTTTGACCTTTTTCAAGGCTCCATCGAAGGGCGACTGACTCTCCGGCCCTTGTTGGCGGTCCGCTCCGCCAACAGCGACTGGGCGAACTTGCTCTTCGCACGCACCTGCGGCCCCTTCCAGTAGAAGACATAGATGGGCAGCACGACCAGGCACGAAAGACACGCCAGGATGGTTGTCGCGTACTCGACGTGCCATTTGTCGCCAATGTTCTCGTACATCGGGGTGGCGTACATGGCCGAGATACCGGCCAGCAGGTCTCGTGCGAAGGCGTTGCCGCCCGTGGCCGAGGCCGAGTAAACACCGTACGAGGCGACCATGTAATCCACCGTAGATAGGTAGATCGCGTAATTGGCGATACCGACCAGCGCGGAGAAGATCATCGAGCCGATCCAGTGGACACCGCGCTCCTTGCCGAAGGACGTCCAGGCGAAGCCAAACAAGCCGATCGGTTCCAGCGGGGCCAGGAACAGCAGCCACTTGAGGCGGCGCTCGGGTGGGATCGCGTCGTCGCCGTGGCGCTTGCGGATCTTCTGGTCGCGCCAGAACCATGGGAAGTACGAGAAGTAGGCGATGGCGTAAGCCAAGTTAATGGGGATGAAGGCCCAGGCCTGGGCGAGGGTGCCGAAGCCCCAACCCTGCTCGTACACGATGGCGAAACTCTCGAGGAAGGTGAAGATGAGGGCATCGGAGAAACCGGACAGCAGCGACAGGCAGAGGACGATGGGCTCGCGCAGCAACATGTGGAAGGGGCGAAGCAGAATCGTCCCGGCTTCCTTCATCGAGACGCGGGGCTTCTTCAGCTCGTTGGGTCCGTAGACGTTCGGGTCCTCGCCGGACTCGCGACGCCTCTTGGCGATCCTATCCATGAGGATGGTGGAGCGAGACTCGGGCATGAAGAAGATAATGAGTTGGACGGCACCGCCGAAGATGAGCTGGATCCAAAAGAACCATTGCCAGTCGAGGACTAAGAGAGGATCTTAGTTAGCGCGGGCTATCTTGACAGGAAAACGTTCAAATTCAAACATACAGCGAGCGATGGGTCCACCGATAATACCACCAATACTCGTCCCGATACAGGACGAGAAGACGATGAACGCCAGCGGGAATTGTTGCGTTTCGGCTTCATAGATATCGGCAATCAATCCCAGGGTGACACTGCCGCCAGCGGTCGAAACACCACCCTACTGTTGTTAGTTTCTCCCTTCCAAAGGATAGTCGCGAACAATAACTCACCAGGCCACGCGCCACCAAAACACTACCCCAGTTCGGGGCCAGGGCGGCCGGGAGCTGCCAGATGTTGATCAGAAACATCGACAGCTGGAGGATGGGCCAGCGGCCAAATTCCTCACTCCACGGCGCCCACAATTCGCATCCCACCGAGTACGTCACCAGATAGATCATCTGGCCCGTCCGGGCATGTTGCTCACTAATGTTGAAGTGCTCGGCCAGGAGCTTGACGGCGCTGGGATAGACGGAGGTGTTGAAGTTCATGGAGATCTGCACGCACGCGACGGCGAGCAGGTAGCTCCACTTCTTCCATCGCGGCCAACAGTACGCCAGCTCGTCGTAACACTCGTCCTCCGTCAGCTCCCTCTTCCCATCCGGACGGAGACCCTTGTCGGTGTTGCTCTTCTCTGTCCCAAGCCCGGTAGGGCTTGGGATGGTCTCCAACTGTGGAGACTCACGACTTTCTGCATCGGTCATTGTCATGAGAATGCGGGGATAGAAAATGAATCTTGGTTGGGGAAGCAACAAACACGAGATTTCAAGAAATTCCGGCGGGGGCCAGGTACATATATACACGAAACCCTGATTACGGATCAACTCGCAATTCCGCTACTCCTGTCAGTGTATCCCAAACCGGATTCACCGAAAGACCCACCAGTCGCCAAGTGGATCGGCGAGTTAGGGTACGAAGCACCAGAGGGCTTCAGATTTTTTCTGCCTTTCCGTGGAAGCCATATCCCAAGCGTGGGCTGCCGAGAGGCATCCCGTCCCAAATCTCGGATTCCCGACATTATTTCGACCGTATCTTTGTCCACGGTGCCCGAGAATTCCACGAGACGCGGGCGTGGGCCATGGACGAGCACCCCTCCTTGACATGGGTCCTGGGATCACCAATATCTCCCATTAGTGGCTAACCGACCTGCAGCACCAGCGGCGGCACAGCGAATTGGTCGAAAGAATGGCTACTGCTGGCATGCCGCCATGAATCGGCCAAGGCTCTCGGAATTCAAGGCTTGCAGAGGACGGTTGGAGACAGAACTATTGAGAGTCCAAGCTCGGCCAACTGCTCCTTCCTTTGGTCGGACCCACTTTAAAACTGGATTAAAGGCAGCGACGATTGCCTCAGACCCACCGAGTTCCTCGGAAATGTCTGTGTCATGGCGTCAGAGGTATGACCCTTGGCCAATGGGACGGCGTGTAGTAGCATTGATTTGGCGATCTTGCTTAAGACATCGTGCGATCGACCATATGAAAATTGGAGCTAGTATTTTCGCCAACCGAGGGTCAAGACACGAATGAACGTGACGTCACTCTGGCCGTGGCAGCAAACCAGAGGACGAGGTTGATATTCCGCGCGTTGCTTATCTTGAGACTGTTTGCTAGTGTCGTGGATCTGCCACGGGGTTGAATTTTGGATATTCTCATCACTCTACCGGTCGCTTTCCTTCCTGCGTATTGGGCCTCGTCACATCTTTCTTTCGATTCTGTTCTTTTGCTTTCGTGTGTTTCGTCTGTAGGGTATTTCCGACGCTTAATTACAACCTAGATAGGTACCGACCGATGGAACCGGTGGCAATGCCACGGACATGAGGCCAACAGCCACTCACCCTACGAGAAAATTCCATCCCTCCGCATTGTTTACCCCGATTCTCGAATGTAAGGCTCCGCAATCGTGCGCCATCGTGGGAGGTGGCGACTGCCCCGCGATCTTCGACGGGAAAACTACGCATCGCCATTCCACAATGGGTGACTTCCATGGAGGGTTACCCGCCCTGCTAAATCGATGTATCTGCACGATCAAAAGCAGCACGATGGGATTGCGTTCGCTCTACAGAGCTTCTGACGGGGATTTTGACTCAATTGGCGAGCCTATCGAGCCACGGCCGAACACAACCAGACACTGTGTTGTCCCGACGCCATTCGTGGGGAGAGTGAGAACCTCTTCGATCAAGAATCGGATCCGAAGGGATTCCGATGTTGCGGTGGATGGATCATGACGTCATAACCAGGAGCCGCAAAACGTACGATCGCCACAATAATTACATACCACTTCCAGAGCATCTCGAGTACCTGCAGGCGATCTTACCACGGTTACACGCCCTCTTGATTGATCGCCCGGTGCCCATATCGTCATCGCGCGCCCCCTTCAATACACTGCGGACCAATGGCCCTGCGACCGCGAGTTGCGCGCGCTCATCTTGTTGAAGGCACTCTGGATTCCCTCCCGACCCCGTAGCCAGGAGCCCCGGTGAAATTGCCCAGACCTTGGCCCCTTGGCACGCAGTCAGCGACGCCACTCAAGCGTCAGCATGTTGAGCCCCGTCTTGTCGCTCCGGCAGGCGCCGTCTTGGGTCATCCCTTGGCTTGGGTCCTTCGTTCCTGCCAAGCTCGGCGCGTTGAATGTGATGCAGAGCAGGCGAGGGGTGGATACTCTGGCGCAGCAAGGGCGCTATGGTGGCGGTGGGGATCTGCGTGCCGGCGGTGTTGACATTCCAGGACCGGTTCCACATCTCCCGCGCACTCATGTTCCCGGCGATCTGTTGTTGCTCAACGCGCCTACGGTATGGTCAATGGACGTTCACAGCGTGAAGTGGACGGGCTCATGTCTGACGCATTTTTGATGATCACGTCGACCTTGCCATGCTTTGCTATTGGTTCCACATCTCCCGCTCGCTCATCTTCCCGACGATCTCCCGTTGTTCAAACTGGGCGCCTACGGTACGGTCAATAGACGTTCACACCCGTAGGGGTGAATGGGTTCAAGTCTGACCGGCGTTTTTGATGACCACATCGACCTTGCCATGCTGGGCCTTTATTTCCACAGCGGCACCCACGATCGACTCGTCGGACTCGATGTTCAACTCCCCAGGAACAAGCATGCTCGCAGAAGTGGGAAACTCTTCCTGTGCGAGCGCAATGGCTAACTGCGCCTTCGCCCGCGATCGACTGCCCACGAAGTTGTATACGGTCGATCGGAGGCGGCGAAGGCTTTGACTGTTTCAAAGTTAAGGACGACGGTCGGCATTGTTAAAAAATTTCATGGGGTCACTAGGAGTCTACACGGTGGATGCTCTATACGCTGTCTTGGTGCGCGCCTTATTTCCAGCCCGGAGTCAATCACCGCAAGAGGCTTGACCCCGGATGGCTTCAGTTTCTATCGGACATCATTCCGGCCATCTCGTTGGACGTTTGTGTCGACCCTGGGAAATTGGTCATCGGTCCTATGACCGTCACCCATTGTTGCGCCTACCAGATCCTTGTGGTTGATCGCTATTTTTCAAACGTAGCCACTACCATTCACTCCTAGGTCAGTGCAGATCAACAACCAAATCCGCCCGTCAGCACAGCGTGCCTGCAAGGTCTGATACTGCTGATGCCTCCGTGGCCCTTGCTCTCGCAGACCGTGGACCAGGTCGAGGGAGCCCCACCGTTTTGCAGACGTTCGTAGTCTTTCATTCTAAGGAATGTATCTATAAGTGGTGTGCCTGGTCTACGAGAACCCCGATGCGCATCATTCTTGCCAACCCAACGGCTGACAGAACATGGTCGGGATCCCAATATCCGTAGTCAATATGCGCGGACTCCGCTGTACAGGCTAATACAGAGAAATGTAGAACCCCATCCACCGCTTCCCCACGCGAATAGGCCTGGAGATGGGCGACACGGCGTTTTTGCCCACTGACTCTGTCGATGGCATTGAACTCAACGGGACGAGATACCACCTTCGAATAAGAACCAGGTGCAGACTTCCCATGCATCCAGCCTGGTAAATTACCGTGGCACGCAGGTCATGGGACCTTTATCCCATAGAAATGGTCATAGTCCACCGTCTTTACGATACAATAAACATAATCAGTACATTCCGGGGACATGCGACGGCTGTCCGTGGGCGGTCCTGTCCTTCGGTTCGAGGGCTTCATCGTCAGAACTCTGGATTGCCCTCCATGAGTAAACATAAATCTTGGAACGTTGGTGCATTCTCCCGGAGCATATCCAAGCCCATTGTTATTGACACTACAAGTTCATAATTGCTCAACCACTGTGTACCCGTCTTGGGTATTACTAAAATAGAGCCTTGAAACTCTCGTGGTCTTGTACTTCTATTCGGAGTTAAAAACCGTAAGACACTACTTCATGTTGAGAGAACAGAAAATACTCATGTTTCGTTTGGGGGTGTACACCAATTCATGGAACGACGCGGGTTCTCGCCCAGGTATTCCCAGGATGGGGATTATCTTAGCCACTGCATGGGAGGGCTTGGACTGACTGGTATCCTAGAAGATCATACAGTCGTAGAAACTACATGCACAGGGTCACTTCTGGTGAAAGCTTATATAGTGAATGGGATTTCCATAATGACTGGCACGGCGCACCTCAAACTGCGTGAATTATGGTTTCTGGCCTGAGATCGTGGAAAGGCGCAATCTTTATCAGTACGTGCATGAACGTCTAGCAGTATGATCACCGCAAGCCCGATGATAAATTTACTATTTCCCAGCCTCTTTGAAGTTTTTCATGTTGCAGAAACATGGAACTGATGAGGGATGAACTTCATCTCAATGACAACAGCAAGTTCTAGGGACCGGTTAGGATGCCTTGCGGTTGCCGCTTGTGTCCAATTCCATCAAGACAGCGGCGATTCTACACATACTTGACAGCACACGTTTAGCCAGTCCTGTAAATTCAGTCCACGAGATTTTGGCTAGCTCATCGTAACCTGAGATGAGACGTATCAAATTGAATTTCTCTGACGTCGATGGAATGACAACTACATGTTCGAACGAGGCACTAGACCAGGGGTAATCTGTCGACCGAACACCGCATCTTCAAAGGTCTATTGACGGTTGTTAGGATCCACTGGACGAGCGGTTGGTAACGACACCCCAGCCTGGGTTCTACCGGCGAAGAAGGCGTTCCTCAGACCGGTAGACCTATGACAGATCGCACTCTGGAATTCGTCCTTCCTGTGGCCATATTTCACACCAGCCATCCTGTCGGTCGGAGATCTCCGGCAGGATCGCGATGATGGCGATCGATGGCGGAGGAAACCGCCATCATGCCGGTCGAAGGAATGGCTAGCGCATGCGGGGATTATGGTGGGCTGATTTGGCGGGAGCAACCGACATATAAAGTCGAGAAGTTATAGCCATGGGCTCACTACGTACAATCTGCTCGTCTGAAAACGAGTCGATTCAGATATCCAGTTGGCTTTTTGTGGGATTATTATATAGATGGAAATGAGTGTAGGTTTGTTGGTGGCTCCGGTTGTGTTGTTGCAGCGGTCATATATATCGGGCGGGAGGGTGCAGCTTCGACCAGATCTGCCACCCAACTCGATAGAGGAACACCATTTGGAGCAATTGCAGGGTTTAAACATCACAATACGATGGCTGGTATTATCGTTTGATGACAGTCCAAGATCGAATCCTATTTTCACCGTCATTCCGACTGATCCAATTTCCCGAATTACGATGGCTAGGAGGCATGAAAAGGCATGAGACAGAGTTGAATGATCTGGATAGAAGAGAATGGGTCCTCCTGGCAACCGAATATCGACGAAGACAACCACCGGCCAATCAATCCAATACGTCACAATAGGTTCTCGGCTCAACTACGAGGGATTTATTCATCGCAACCCCAGACCCCAGGTTGGGGTTGGACGGACGACTGGAGGACGGTGGATCTGACAGTCCCCTGAACAGCGAGTGACATGTCCTGGTAATCCCAAAGTGTGGGGGGTTGTCGTGTGCTATGCGGATTATTTCCGCCCCGACAACAACATCAACATCGTCGCAGTGGGTGGTGACTCCGAGGCGGACGGTGAAACCGCCGGGCAGTTTTCTTAATATCGAAAAGTCAGGATCATTAAGGGGGCGAGGAACGGAATATAACGACCGATGGAGCGAGGTAGACGAGAGATGGCTGATTTCTAATCCTTGGAAGGCAGTCACGGAGAGTCTCACAGATATGAGGTCTCCACTGTGGGGTTTGTCGACCGGAGTCTTACTCTGTCGGGGTAGAAAGAGGAGGAGAGAGAGAGCGCGTCGTAACCTTTTATCTCAACCCGCCTGGCTTACCGAGTATGGAGAGAGTCTTATCTCTGCTGGTCCCCCCTCCGACTCCACAGACCAGCTGACATCAGCGTCTCCCCACTACCCAGTTCATCCTTACTCTTTCAGTCACCGTCTTGTTCTCTCCACCTCCGCCATTGGAGACGGACACCAGGACTTCAAAAGATCAGGGAACGGCGGCATGAGACTGAATCTTTCTGAACTCGACCGATGCGGCCGGGATGCCACGTTGGCGGCTCGGAAGTCCGCGCCCCTTGCATGATCGCATGGTCGCATTCGTCCAGGCCAGAATCGACCGGCTAGGCGTGAACGCGGTGAGGGGACGGGGCCCTATTGGTCCATGAACGCCAAGACGCGACGTCGGCGATGCGATCGACAGACAGCTCAACGGAAAACCACGCGAGACCCTGACTACCGACTGGTTAGTGGCCAGTGGCCACCATCCTGACAACGCCCAGGATGCAAGGGACTCCCCCAATCACAGCATGGTGCCATGGCGCCCAAGACCGGGAATGAGGCGGGAAGGATTCGGATATCTGCAGGCTCGATGGCCGGGCGATGTCCGGGCCGGGCATTGAGGCCGAACATGACTTTTCTTTATAGCGATTTTTGAGGTCTGGATGGAATACGAAGTCGGGGTGCGATGACCCGACCATTACTAGATAAGAGATTGGAGCAAGCGAACACCGCTCCAGGGTTGCTCGTGGGTGGAAATGGGGGACCCCGACCCTTCGCCGAGTGGGCCGAGAGGATCCGTCTGGATGCCCAAAGCCCGGCAAGGTTACATGCTCGGGTTTAAGGTTTACACATTCCAAAATATAATTCAAACTATAATCCAATTAACTCGAATAAAAATAAATAAAATCAAACCGAATGAAAAAAAAAAAAAAAAGCGAAGGAAAAATCACGCATCTTTCTGGCTGGGAAGAGGCGGGAGGGTCGTGCGATGGACGCCTGAGGTGGCAGCTGGTCTGTGGAGTGTGGTGGCAATGACTGACTCCCAATAGGGCAGGATTGAATTGGGATCATTCCACGAGCCCGTGATGTACTCCATTCTTTTCGCTGGTCATTTAGAGTGTCTACGACACCCCGCAGATGATGTCGAACAGACATCTGGGGATTCCACCAGGGTGAGGGATTGCGGAGAGAGTCGGCGTTCAGTCTCCATCCATGACACATCGAAATGAGCTGACCAAGACTGCGGTCTCGAGTCCACCGTTCGACTGTCTCTAGTCTGGCTCACTCCGGCCTGATGAAATGGGCGTCGGCTCGACTAACCCGATGCGGTGCGGCCACTAACTCCGCATTTGGTTTAGCGTGGCGTTGGTCAAGCCTCACGCCACAAATCTTATTAGTCACAGTATCGCTCTCTGATTGGCTACCTTGTTCAACCCACCAATCACAGCCCGCGTTGCCCCTGTCCTCCACCCGGCCCGGCTAAATCCAGCCTGCCGCTAAACCCAACCCGGCTAGCGGCGTGGCGCTTATCTTCAACATTTTGACAATTTCCATTCATAATGCAAGAAAGTTGAGGTGGATTTCTCTTTTCTCTTCGCGCCCACTCCTCTTCTCTCGCTCTTCTTTTGCCTTCTCTCTTATCTCGCCAAGTCTCGTGCTCACCTCCCCACTCCGTGGATCCCCGTCCTCGCTTTTTTTCTTCCTTCTTCTCCCGCACCGTCTCCTCTACTTCTTCTTTCCTCCTCCTCTTCTTCTCCCGGCAGCTTCTTTCCTTCCCCCAAACTTCACGGTCAAATCCATTCCTACCTGTCTGGTCATCAAATCCTCCGGTCAAAGGGCATCTCCCTCCCCCCACCCCCACCCCTCTCCCTCCAATGTCCTCTCGCCCGTACACAGACCACCGGCAAGACCTTCCCCAGACCATTCCCACGATGGGCCTCACCCCCGATGATATCTCCGACCAGGAGGCCAACAAGGTCGTCATGGATTCCGACCTGGAGAAGCGGGATGATGTCTCGGCACCCCCCATCTATGATGGGGAGATCGTCGCCGAAATGACCGAGGAGGAGCGGAATGTCTACGATCACGGCGTCCAGAAGTTCAATCGGCTGGGTTGGAAGCGTCTCACCGTCGTCCTCATCGTCGAGGCCATCGCCCTCGGCTCCCTCTCCATCCCCTCCTCTTTTGCTACCCTCGGCATGGTCGCTGGCGTCATCTGCACCGTGGGCCTCGGCCTCCTCGCCATCTACACCTCCCATGTCATCGGTCAGGTCAAGCTCAAGTTCCCCCTCGTCGCCAACTACGCCGACGCGGGCCGCCTCATGATGGGCCGCTTCGGCTACGAGCTCGTCACCGCCATGCTCGTCCTGCAGCTGCTCTTCCTGACTGGGTCTCACACCCTGACCGGCACCATCGCCTTCGTCAACATCACCGAGAGCAACATCTGCTCCATCGTCTTCGCCGTCGTCTCCGCCATCATCCTGCTGCTCCTCGCCGTGCCCCCCAGCTTCGCCGAGGTCGCCATCCTGGGCTACGTCGACTTCGTCTCGGTCATCCTCGCCATCGGCATCACCATCGTCGCCACCGGCGTCGAGGCCTCCGACAGCCCCGGCGGCTTGGCCGCCGTCGAGTGGTCCGCCTGGCCCAAGCCCGACATCTCCTTCGCCGACGCGTTTATCGCCATCACCAACATCGTCTTCGCCTACAGTTTCGCCATGTGCCAGTTCTCCTTCATGGACGAGATGCACACCCCGCGCGACTACATCAAGTCCATCTGGGCCCTGGGTCTGACCGAGATCTTCATCTACACCCTCACCGGCGCCATCGTCTACCGCTTCGTCGGCGTCGACGTCAAGAGCCCCGCCCTGCTCTCCGCGGGCCACCTCATGAGCCGCATCGCCTTCGGCGTCGCCCTGCCCGTCATCTTCATCTCCGGCTCCATCAACACCGTTGTCCTCGGCCGCCTGCTCCACGGCCGCATCTTCCGCAACTCCCCCATTCGCTTCATCAACACCGCCATGGGCTGGATCACCTGGTTGGCCATCATCACCGTCGCCACCGTCATCGCCTTCATCATCGCCGAGGTCATCCCCTTCTTCAACGACCTGCTCTCCATCTCCTCCGCCCTCTTCATTTCCGGCTTCACCTTTTACTTCCCCGCCGTCATGTGGTTCCAGCTCCTCCGCGAGGGTAGCTGGACCTCTCCGAAGAATATCGCTCTGGCTTTGTTGAATGCCATGTGTTTTATCATTGGTCTGGTTGTGCTCGGGGCGGGAATCTACTCCGCCGTCGTCGATATCGTATGTCTATTTCCCGCTTCCCTCTCTCTGCCTTTTTATTCTTCGTTTGAACGTCTACTAATTCGGTTAATCTAGGATGCGAAGTACAAGGCCGGCACCGTCGGCGGGGTCTTCAGCTGCGAGGCACCCAACGACAAGTAGGTCGACCTCGATCGACCGGTGTATATAGATGGATTGAGTAGAGGATTGTATAGATAGAGAGGTTCCTGCCTGGGCCGTGCCCATGATACCCTGTTTGCATTTCATTAATTTATTTGTTCGTCGTCTATACGTGTCCTATAAACCCATCCGGTCGTAATCGTTGGTCCTCCACTACGGGCTCTCCGACATAGATGCTCCGCGACGCTAATGTTAGCGTGCCATTCTACCGGGTCCCTGGGCGGACTAGTGCAGCCACAACCGCGTACCCATGACCGGTTCAACACTGGTAGGGATATGAGCCGGACTCCGGCTGCTGCCGCAAGATACCACGCCTCGCACGTCATCAGGCTAGTAAGAACTTAATCTAACGCCGTACGTTTACTGTCTTGGTTCGATCTATCGGTCTCATCCATTGACTGGGGTCATGTGCATTGTTGGAAAGAGAAATAAAACACCAGAAATAGAAAGAGCGATGCGATGCGGTGAGGGCTCCGCGAGGCACGTGGTCTCAACAGCCATGTCAGCACAGCAGCCAAGCAGCAACTACATATCAGTCTGGCGAACTGGCATCAAGGGGGTGGCGAAGTGTCTTAAACGGAATTCTTCTATGCGTCCGATGACAGATAACCACTCGTACCGGCAGGCTGCCTTCGACTGCATGATCCCACCATGAGGCCGCGCCTGCATTGTCAGTCACCTATGGATGCATAAAGGTCGCGCCTGCCCCTAATAGTGGACCCAAATACGACCTGTGGACAGTATCAAAACTTGCCGACGCGCATCAAGGCCACCATGTCCGATCCCCGACCGTCCAAGAACAATGACCTCGAAATGACGGTGCAGGATGGCCCCACCCACGACGGCGTGTTTGGCGAGATCACCGATCAAGGCCCCAACTATCGTAATGTGCGCGGGGAACAAACCCTCATCCGTATACTCCCCTGACGACCTCTAGCTGGGCTTCCTAGGTACCGTCGTCCTCATGATGAAGACCGAGATCGGCCTCGGCGTCCTCTCCATCCCGACAGCCCTGGACATCTTGGGCCTCGCGCCCGGCATTGTCTGCCTATGCGCCCTTGCCGCCATTACAACATGGTCCGAGTACGTCGTTGGCACCTTCAAGGCCAACCACCCGGGAGTTTACGCCATCGACGACGTGGGGGCATTGCTTTTCGGTCCCTGGGGTCGTGGTATCCTGGCCGCGGTGTTCTGCCTCTGTACGTTGCGGTAGGTCACAACCCGTCGAGAAAATCGACTGACGATCCGTAGACTGGATCTTCGTCACCGGCTCGGGGATCCTGGGCATCTCCATCGGCCTCAACGCGGTGTCCACGCACGGCGCCTGTACCGCCGTTTTCGTCGCCATCGGGGCCCTCGTCGGATTGCTCGGCAGCAGTGTGCGCACGCTGGGTCGCATCACTTGGCTGGCTAGTATCGGGCTGCCGTCGATCCTCATCGCTCGTAAGTCCCCCCGGACGCGGATTGCGAGCTACTTCCATGCTCACAGCGCCAGTGGTCGTCGTCACCATCGCCGTCGGCGTCCAGGACCGCCCGGCTTCTGCTCCCACGACCCGGGGCCCCTGGGTCTCGGACTACCAGATCGTCGGCGATCCCACCTTTCCTCAGGCTATCACCGCAGTCGCCTCGCTTGTCTTCGCCTATTCTGGGTCCTCGGGGTTCTTTTCCATTGTGTCCGAGATGCGTAACCCATCCCAATACACTCGTGCGTTGATCGTCTGCAAAGTTGGCGTCACGCTGATCTACGCAATTATCGGCTGCCTACTCTACTACTACTGCGGATCGTACGTGGCGTCGCCGGCGCTGGGATCCGCCGGTGGCACCGTGAAGAAGGTGTGCTATGGATTGGCGCTGCCGGGGTTGATCGTGACGACAACGATCGTGGCGCACGTGAGACTCCCATGCCCACCCATATTCACCCTCTGATTCCTGTAGATTCCGTCCAAGTTCATGTTTGTCCATCTCCTCCGCGGCTCGCCCCATCTCACCAACAGTTCCCCCACGCACTGGATCACCTGGCTCGGGTGTACAGTTAGTGTTACGGTCATTGCATACATAATCGCCAGCGCCATACCCTCCTTCGATGCTCTAGTATCGCTCATCGGAGCCCTACTGGGTACGCTAACCTGTTTCCAGCCCATGGCTTGCATGTGGTTGTACGATAACTGGCGCAGCGGGACGCGCGGGTCAAAAAGGTGGTGTTGCATGGTGGCGTGGAGTATCCTGGTCATCGCGATCGGGACATTCCTAATGGTCGCGGGCACGTACGGGTCTGTCGTTGCGGTAATCGCATCTTATGAGACCTCAGGCGGGGGAGGGGCGTTTTCTTGTGCGGATAACTCTAATTCGGTGTAGTTTTGGGTTGCTTGAATACTGTGGCGGATGGATATGCTGGGAATGCCACGCGGGTGTGGCTTTTCGGGTACCGTGGCCGATTAATTGACGTTGAGAATGTCATGCGGGATGTCGCTTTCGGGATACAATAGTTTGGAAACCAATTATTAGTATAATTGCTGTTCGGAGACTTGTTCCGTACCTCTAGTTGGCATCTCTATCGCGTGGTATGCTCGTAGGGACTGTTGTCGAACTTTTATACTAGGCACATTGCTAGGATCATGCGACTGGTCCGATATCATAAACTGCTGAAAACTTCTCTCAGCTACCGCACCATGATACCGAACGGTATTTTGGCCAGATTTAATATAACTGATATCCCAACGATATCTAGATCTGTCCCTCGATGTCACAGTCGGCCTCACTATCAATGACTCAGTGTCATCTGCACGCTCCGCCTCCGGGCGCCGTACAAGACAAAAGCGTGTGGCGCTGTCAAGTACGTCCAGAGGGTCATTGGTATCGAACTTATTCCAGGGAAGTCATATTCGTACAGTGTGTTCCTTATTGTCCTCATATATGTAGAGATCTCTTCCATGGTGTTTTATCCTGGGGGCAGAGGTCATCTAGGAAGTAACATCACCGTCTAGTAGTAAAGTTGTCTGTTTATCGGACTTGACTAGCATGTCCTGTCCACGGGCATGTTAGCCAATGATGTTGGCTACAGCGCCCGTGGCGCCGAATATCAAAAGTTGGATTTCGATATAGTATGGCCATATTGGATGATAGGAGTGGAGTGTATACCAGGATGAGTGGAATGACTGACTCGCGAGACAACAGAGTGGAGGAGGTGGGTGGAGGAGAGTGGGCCTCACCCCGCGTCTCCAGTCCCCACTGATATTCGAGATCGAGTCGCCACTAGGGTGGTCCACTAGTTCGTGATGGTTGAACTTAGTTGGTGGGGAGGAGTGGATGTTTTATTTTGCTGTGTGGATTAAGGATTTATGGTGCTTGATATCAATGGTAGTTCATTCACTATCTATACTACAGTTAACCTTTCTATGAACCGATGTAATCTATATGTGGTGATGCGCATATCTCTAGGGGAATAAGAATAGACACTGCGTATTGTGGTAATCTTATTAATCATTGAAAAGTATATTTCCAACATCAAAATACCTTGACACTGTTGGTACAGGACCTATTTTCACATCCTGCAACGACTTGTATGGTTCAATGCATGGACATTGAAATATCTGTCAGCTTTGGTCAGTGTGGATTACTATGGCGTTTCTGTTCTTTCATATATCAAGCTAGAATAACGATAGGTTCAACATTCCAAAACCGTGACCAATGCATCAACAGTTCCATCGGGTTCCCCATCACAGCATTTGAGTCTTCGAACCTTTGTGGAGAGATAGGGCGCCCTGTCATGCGTCTTGCTTGACAAGAATGCAACCAGCCTCTAACATGATATCTCCACTCATAATGCAGTTCATTTGCCACAGTTTCCAGCATATATGGAAATGGATAAAGTGGGTGTGTGAGCTACTCCTCCGGAGATGAGCGACGACGACCAGGCGAATCCGATGCCGATATCTGGAACATTCTTGCTAACTGCAAGGAATATTTCCGTACTCTCGAGACAAGGGATGTAAGGAATCGGGAGTAATTAACCCAGTGGAACACTTTACCGTGGGTAAACTCATTGGACACTGGAAATTATCTCGATAGGGCAACCCGCCAGGAGCTTCCAATCTCTAATCTGGTTTTGGAATGCAAGGGACGTTCCACTGCAATGTAGCGGGACAATCTATTCCATAACAGTCTTTAGAAGGCGATACGGATGTGCTAGGGTTCATCCTGTCAGTTGATATCGATCCCTTACATGGACGCAAAGTCGTCCGAAACCTCACTGCATGTAAGATAAGATACCCCTTCGGAGACGAAGATCGTTAGTTCAGTACATTCATAATGCCGTCGAAGCACTCGGACTAGAAGAGCATACACATTGGCAAGCCATCAGAACTCCGCAATGGACGCGATCAAGCCCGTGGAGATCACCGAAGACATCAAAAAGATGGATTATGAGTCTCCTGCAGAGGACCAGGAAAAGTCTAGGGTTACTGAGCCACCCAAGGGTGATGTGTTTGGCGACGAGGATGCGGGAGGAGTGCAGTACAAGGTGCTCAGCTGGCAGTATGAAATTCCTTGATCCTGATATACCTCATGAAGTTAAAAACGCCACAGAAAATGCGCAATCGGTCCGTCATAGTCCAACAATTAGTCACGCCAGCTAACCAGGCTAGTGATGCTCGCCCAGATGATCTCGCTAGGGGTGCTATCACTGCCCTCCGCCATCGCAACTCTGGGTCTAGTACCGTGAGTAAATAGACTCACAGCCTCAACCAGTCTGACAGAACAGGGGAATAATCGCCTTGGTCGTGCTGGGCCTTCTCGCCGGCTACACCGCATACGTGATCTTCCAGTTCAAGACACGCTACCCACATGTTGTCCACATGGCAGACGCGGGAGAAATCATCGGAGGGCCGATCGGACGCGAGATCGTCGGTGCCGGACAGCTGCTCTTCTGTCTCTTCCTGATGGCGAGTCATCTGCTCACCTTCCGCGTGGCAATGAACGCCATCACCGAACATGGAACCTGCTCTATCGTGTTTGGCATAGTAGGCATGATAGTCGCCTTCGGGGGGAATGTGCCGCGCACGTTGAACAACGTAGCTAAGCTTTCGGTCATCTGTGGGTCTCACTCTCCTACCCTCCAGACTGTCGCTGACCAGCCCAGCATTCACCAGCATCGTCAGTGCCGTCTTCCTCTGCATGATCGGCCTCGCGGTGACCAATCCCCCGGCTCCCGTCCACGCCGTGAAGCAGACCGAGTTCACCACCGCGTGGGGCGCCATTACCGATATGGTGATCGCATACGCCGGCCACGTAGCATTCTTCGGGTTCATCGCCGAGATGAAGGAGCCGAAGGACTTCCCCAAATCGCTGTGCGTCCTACAGACGGTTGAGATTGCTTTATATGTGGCTGTGGCGGTGGTCATCTACTGCTACGCTGGAGACAGCGTCACATCCCCGGCTTTGGGGTCGATGGGGCCTGTCCTGCGGAAGGTAGCGTATGGATTGGCGTTACCATCGGTTGGTTTCCGAAACACAGTAGGCTGTGATTCACAGGCTAATGTTGGCAGATTGTCATCGCGGGAGTCATCTTCGGCCACACTGCCTGCAAGCAGGTATACGTGCGCATCTGGGCCGGCAGTGACCGCATCCACAAGCGCGATGCAGCAGCGCTGGGGTCGTGGTGTGCGCTTGGGGTAGTGTTCTGGGTCCTGGCTTGGGTGATTGCCGAGGCCATTCCGGTCTTCAACAGCTTGTTGAGTTTGATCGTATGTATACCCTTCCCGCTGGACTGAGCGTGAGAGGACTGACTGTATAGGCTGCGCTGTTTGGAAGCTGGTTCACCTGTAAGCGGCCGCGATTCACCTTGTGGGATCTCGAGCTAACGAGTTAGACGGTCTGAGTGGCATTTTTTGGCTATTTATGAACAGGGGCCAGTACTTTGCAACTCCGCAAAAGGTCTTCTTGACTATGTTGAACGTGGGGTTGATTGTAATTGCGACTGCTCTTGTATGTGCTGTTCATGTTCACCGTCTTATCACGGATACTGATGATGTGTTTAGTGCGCGCTAGGTCTATGGTCATCGGGCAGGTCGATACATGAGGAGGGAGGTCGCAACAGCTTCTCTTGTTCCTGAGATTGCCCTTCCATGGTCCCCTGGGTGAGCCAGACGAGGTAAGGTGCTTATTTCTGTAGAACGCGATGGTATAAAAATGGGAGATACTTATGGCGTTTTGTAATACCGCTGGAGGATCACGTCGGTGTGAGGACGGGATGTCCGAAACACCTTGATAGAATTGGATCAAAGGTTGCGAGTTACGTACCGTTTAACAGGACACCTTGTGCACCATAGAATATCTGCAGAGATTCTAATTCCGAAATACATGTGACAAGGATAGCGAGGACATGCATGCTATCATCCCGACTATGGCTTATATCCCTTGGCAGGCATACGTGGTGCTCGAGTTACGCGCCAATTCAGTTGAGCTGCATTGCCCTGCAGTCAGACAACTTGACGTATGTGTTTTCCAAAATTGGTATATCGATTGCGCCTGTTATGCATGCATATATACAAAGGAAAGCGACAAAGGTTTCGCTATTGATTCTCCACCTGCACCCGAAACGACCGTTCCACTCCCAGGACCCCCGGGTTCTCCCACGTCAACCGATCCTCGCTGGTATTCCAGGGGATGGCCACCTCTGGGTTCCCGATAATCGTCGTGGTCACGCCGTGTGTCTCGTCACTGGTGGCGTCGTAGATGCGTCCGCCCTGACGGGTTTTCTGGGAGGCGCCCATGTAGGAGAGTGGATAGCTCGACCTGGCCGACCGCTCGCGGCAGAGGCGAAACAGCGGCCGCAGAGTAGTCAAGCTGCCTGCGGTGATGCCTAACCCGGCCTCAACATTCGACCAGATGGAGATCTGATAGGTGGCGTATAGGAAATCGGGGTCGCGGTAGGTGGAGAGGAAGGGAATACGGACGATGACGGCGGAGCTGGCACTGTTATGGGTTAGATCGATTGACCGGATATGAACGTTGGATGGGGAAATGGGGGGACCTACATGCAGCCGAGACCCAAAATTCCCGCAAGCGCGAACTTGGTGCGCGCTGACATCTGCAAGTCCAGGATGATAAAGCACGGCAACAAACCGATGGTGAAGTCGGTCAGGGCCGCAATGGAACTGTACAGGTAGACAATCGCCAACAAGGTATCCACGGACAGACAGCTGCCTTGACCAGGCTGACGCATCCAGAAGTAGCTGACCGGGTGACATTCGAAGATACTGAAAAAAAGGAACAGCAATCCCACGGCTACGGTCAAAGCCCCGGCCACATAGAGAATGATGGAGTGGGCGCGAACGATGGTGATGCGGAGGAGGGCGATAATGATGGAGATTTTGGCCACGACGCAGCTCACGATGTAGAAATTCTGGCCCAACCACCAGCACTAGAGAAGGACAAGTTAGTTTCGTCCGTGGATGGAGGAAGAGGGCGCAGACTTACCAACAATGACGTTTGCATGTGGCTCTCCTTCCCGACAAACCAGGCAGTCTTCTCCCCCACGCCGTAGTAGCTCCCCACAAAGATACAGACGGAGAACCCTATATACAAGCACTGGATCGCGAGTCAGGGGAGTTTGATTTTGTGGGGGATCCACGGAAATGACCTACCAAGGCGGCCACCATAATCCCATCATCCCACCCGAACGCGCGCATGAGTCGTAACCGCACATAGCATCGGAGAGAGACGGTGATGCACGACAGTGCCAGGAAGAGAGCGGTCACAATGGTGATGGCCTCTCTGCGGCTGTTCATCTTGCCGATCGTAACCAGGCGCGATCTGATATGCAAACACGGGTCAAGATCGCGACTTCTCGACCATTCTCAGGCGCTTCAAAGAACTCTTGCGGATCGGTCGAGGAAAGGACATATTCGACCGTCCTGTCGAGCGTTGAGGGGGGGAAGGGTGGAAGGGTCCGAAACGTAGGGGAGTTTGCGGGTCGCACAGAGTCCAACGAAACACTGATGGAGACACCGACACGCCAGGAATGTCTCCAATTAATAAATATACGACGAAAGAGGAGCGCGGGATAAAAAAAAAAAGAAGGGGAAAGGAAGCTTGGGAAAATGGGGAAACCCCAAACAGGAAAAAGAAACCCGCGCCGAGGTCAGCGATTGGCCTTTTCTCGCACCCAAAGTTCAGGAAAAGTCTGACCAACATCAGGCCCACTGGATCTTGTGGGGAGAACCGGGTGAGGCTGTTGAATAGCTGGGTGTTCGGCTGCGAGCGGACCCGACTAGGCGGGTTCGGACCCGAATTCAATGGTTTGATGAGAGGCCATCAGGCATTAAGAGCCGTGGAGTAATTGGGATCATCTCTTCCATTAGGACGGCAATTGAAATGGTTTGCCATCGTAGAGTTGAGAGTTTGTCGCAGCTGCGGGCAGGGTGGTTCGGTGTGGCGATTTTCTGTCAATAAACTTCGGTGCGCGGTGGGCTGCGGAGACGGCGACTGGCAAGTCCCAATCCAATGAGGACCCGGGGCATCATCAATGAGCTCACCGATCCCTTCCTTCTCGGAATATGGGCATCGGTGGAAAGTGCCATGCGATGGGCGAAAAAACCACCACCACCACCACCTGTTCATGGACCCGCCCAGTGTAGATCCCCCTTTTCGTGCACCTCGTCGGCTACAGGTGTGGCCAGATCCTCGGTAAGAGGAGGATAGGGGTGTCAGCCCGTGTTGATGTTAAAAGTTCCCTCGTCGAAAGGATCGGATCGGATCCGAATCGTCAAGCAAGCCGGATGTCAGGGATGAGGAGGATTGATCAGGATTGATTCCTGGTTGAAGTTCTCCAGGATCTTTTGTGGCTTTGATGATCCTGGCAGTCACGGGGCGCATTACACGATGACTCAGCTTGTGCACTGCACACGAGGATGGCCGACATATATCGATATCGACTCCGTATACATTGATACGGGCTACGGAGTACTATGTCGATAGCTAGAGCCTATTTTTGCCAGACTATCGATTTGGGTGGATCGTGTGGAATCCAAGCGAGTCGGGCTGGTGATAAATGCGCTGGGCTCGTAGAATATCCACCTCGTGCTCATGAGATATCCATCATTTTAACTGTGAATCTTCACGGACAAAAGACAACGCAGTTGGAATCAGATTGAACCTCCTCTCTCCTGTGTCTATACTATTTCATTAGGCTCCTCAAGCGGGAGGTTGGAGGGATCGGCTGCGGAGAAAGCCATCTCGAGACACTATCCAGAAATATATATCCACTACTGCTTACGGCCCCCAACACTCTACCACACCGTGAAGGCACGGAATAAAAATTGAATTGGATATAACGAAATAAAATAATTTTCAAAAAAGAGCGAATGAAAAGAAAAGAAAAGAAAAGCATAAGAATGGGTGACATGAAACATATCCCACCCGAGGTACATGATCGGATGTATTGGCCCAGTACAACTACAGACTACTTACCCCAAACATATACAGTCTTCCTCCTTGCTGCTCCATTTCCCTGCTTTTCCACTAATATGACAGTTGTGGATGAAGGCGATCAACTGGAAACATGACAGGAGTGGTTGAACAGGTGAGACGCGACCGGGCTGGGCCCGCGGAAGAATGATAATCACCGCCAACAACCACCCAACAACAACAAACAGCAACACTGCCCCAAGTGGGGATCCCCGTTTCTCCATCCACAGGAGTCCAGACTCCCCAGGATTGTCAACGTCTGGGATTCTCACCAGAATGCCCATCTACGTCCTCCATACGACGGAGGATGATCGTCCAGCTCGTGTCATCTTCGTCCAGGCCATCACCCTGCTCCACGCCCAGACGTTTGGCACTCCCCGGGCGGCCGTGCGCGTCGAGGTTGTCAACGCTCCGCGCCAGGGGTCGGAAATGTGGTCAGAACATTATGTATGCGCCCCAGATATAACCCCTGGCGAACTTGTTCTCAATGTATACTAAACCAAGCATGAAGGGTGGGACGGGTTTCCAGGCCAGTGCCGGCCTGTCCAAATTTACCGACTACCTCGAAGTGAAGCTGGACTTCCGAGGGACGCGCGACGAGTGGGAGGATTACTGCCGCGAGATCGTCTCCATCCGCCCGCAGATCCGCTCCATCTACCTGCAGCGACTCGAGTTCGAGTTTGAGCGACCGGATCCCTCCCTCCTGGGCGGACTGGTGACGCCGCCGCGCAAAGGGGAAGGGAGGATGACGGGGATCGCCGCGTTGCGGGGACAGCTGGCCGGGGGACCGGTGTCGCGACGGCGATCCGTCGACGAGGAGTCTTTACCCCCGTATCAAGAGTGACAAGAGGGGGGCGGCAGTCGGTGGCGGGGGGGTGGGCAGGTCCATCGGACTCCGTGTGTATACAGCGATATAGACTTCTACCAATGCATTGTGATGATGTGACGACAGCACCGGACATCCCGCCTCAAATAGACCAACCGGTGACCGATGGCTGCGGCGGACACCGCCGGCAACACCTGATTGACCAAGATGGAATCCGCTCGCAGTGCCCGACCTAACTCGATCATACGACATGCGATGAACGTCTTCCAGCCGCCGGTGGTGCCAACCACGACACGAAACTCGTCCCGTCGGTAGCAACCTTGGAGCCAGCCCGGGGAGACAACCAAACCCGTCTTTAGCTGCTGCGCCCATGCCACAAAGGAACTGCCGTCCTCCTTCTGAGAGGGTCGGTCCTTCCGTCCCGGCACAATGTTGTCGCGCCACGGAAGTATAGCCACTTGACGACGTGCCGTTCCGCGAAGCTCTGGCCGCCGGGCTCACCCTATTCCAGTCATTTGGGTTGGGGAACGACAGCCGACCTCAACGCTGCTGTTGGGCTATGAAAAAAAAAAAAAAAAAGAAAATAATCGTGGGGATGGTTCCTGCTCTCATAAGACTCTGGACTAATTGGGTAAATGCTGTGCGAATCTGGATAAAAATGCCCCATCCCAGTGTCATCTTGGAAGGTTTCTGTCTCTTGCACGCGTCCCAGGTCACCTACCCGGTTTCCTTTGACCAAGAATGCGTATTTCTGGGAGCCGTACATCCGTCGCAGTATGTTCATAAACAGCCGTTGAATTATACTACCGGGAAGGAATAAGCCAGCTGTAGCAGTGTCTTTCACTGAATGACATCGTTGATTAAGGTGGCTGGGTCATCTGTAGTGCTGCCTGGGGAGGTGTCTCAGGGATTTTTTATATCGCACATCCCGACAATACAGCGACCATAGTCTGGGTTATCCTTTGGCGAATGCACCTAGTAGGGTTTCCAGTTTTCACAGTCGATCACTGCGCGGGTCTAGGCTTAAGAAAACAATCCTGATAGGCTCGATGCAGCAGACGCTGTATACAGGAGATTGCTCAATAGATCGGTGGGTCACCTCCGCTGGGGTGCATAAAAGCAACTCGACTGGCTGATTGGAACAAAATTCATAAGTGTTTCTCTATAAAATTTACTGAACGTTGAAAATTTTTTCATCTGTGTATGGATAAGGACGCGATTCTTGTCATGGCCTGTACTACTTGAGAGATTACACCTCAAACCCATGGGACCGGTACTACATTTCCACTTGAATGATCCTACTGCATCCCCGATCAACTCCAGGCTGCTCATGCAACTTGCTGTGGAGGGCAAATGATCAGCCAAGAATTACCGAGCTGGGCGTTCCGCCCCGCTGGCGGCAGGATTCCCGGATTGGGACGTTCCCGACAGGGCGGGATGACCTGTGACCTGTCTCATCAACATTTCCACCCTGATTCAACGCCAACATAACTTCTAGCGGTCAGAAGTTTTGCAATCATAGAAAAGAATTCAATCTCTTCAATTGCAAGTCACCATATCGCCGACAAGATGTTCGCCTGGTAAGTCCATACTTCCATCAGACGTTATCCGCCCGGCGCACTGACAACAAACAGGTATCAGCGCAGTCTTCTGCAACGCCCGGTTTTGACCCAGAGTATTACCACCGCGGTATGTCCCATCGGGAATTTTGCGTGATGATAGTAGACTGATGTGTAATAGTGTTTGTTTGGCATAGGTGACTCCTTAGCTCAACAAGGCGTCGAGCGCCGTGGTCTCGCTCAGCATGATGTCATCCGTACAGGGCGAATGGCCCTATATGGCGGCGGTAATCGATGCCCCTTGATATTCCACTGCACCTCGTCACACAGGTGAGAATTCAGCATCAGAGGATCTAACTGACGCACAAACAGTGATATTTGGTCCGGTCGCGACCAAGTGGTTTCAATTTCTCCAACACCGCATTCAACTGTCTACTCCGGGCCGCACGCTCGTTGCGCGTGTCGCCACGGACCAGCTTGTCTGCGCGCCCACCATGATCGGGGTCTTTCTATCAACGATGTCGGTGCTGGAGGGTGCCCACCCGCGCGAGAAGCTGCAACGCACGTATTGGGACGCGCTGCGAACGAATTGGATGGTCTGGCCGGCGCTGCAGAGTGTGAATCTGTACCTAGTGCCACTGCAGTATCGTGTATTGGTGGTGAATATCATAAACATTGGTATGCCCTTCATTTCTTCTCGTGTGTCCCGACTTTGACTGTGCTAATCGTATGGGGATTAGGTTGGAATTGCTTCTTGAGTTTTCTCAACAATGCCGAGTACGATGAGGAGCCTCCGGTTGCTTGATCGGAATGGCCCAGGTGGTTTCGTCTCTGATTCGCGTTTCAAGTCGATTAGAAAGCGTCCAATATTTTGCTTTTGTATTATAGACAATAGTATAATGGTGCACTCATATCCGTGTTCGTATCTGGGATAGCTACGCCGAGTAGATCAAGCCTTAGTCGTCCGACCAGGTTATTATGAAGACGACCCCATGGGCGGGGATGATAGAGAGAGGGTCATTAGTACTGATCATGAGATGAGAATTGAAGATGTGCAAACAAACGAGCCAAATGCTGAGATGGTGGTCACCTGATCGCATTGAGCTGTTTCGGTGTTTTCCGATGATTTCACCTCTCCTTTTCTTCTTTCCCATCCTTAACCTCATCAACCTGTCATTTCCATCCATCTGACCCCTGCTGCTTCTTGACGGGGGCTGCGAAACATTCAACGCGCCAGAGGATCAACAACGCATCTTTTGAGACCAAGCAGCTGCCAATGTTCCCGTGCATATCCGACACCTCGACACCTCATGGGTGTATAACGCCAAGCATCGTGATGCTCTGCACTCCAAGAGACGGAATTTTGGACCGATAATATATACCGGATAGATGAGTGGGGGTCATTCAGGGCCGTCTGATTGGCCTTTCTGGGAAGGACAGTGGACCTAGAACGCTACGGCCATTCCATCCGATATCATGTCTCCCCAATTTCTCACCTTCATCGGGTAGGAGAGCCGGGTCAGATAGGTAGTTACTTTATCAGGACATCAGTTCCTGCCTCCGCTGGCAATACAGGGTTCCTCGACAGGAATCGGGGTGCTAGTGCGGAGAGTTTTGACTGATAGCAACATTCCGGTAAGGTCTGGTGCCCATGACCCCGTTATCGCATGGAGTTACCCCGCATGAGTCTCTGGGGGAGCCATCAGCACATTCAAATACGGTGTCATCGCTGAGAGTTCTTATCTCGAACTTCGTGAAATCTCTGGCATATCCGAGCATTAAACCACCGGGACATCTGCGATGTCGCCCAAGGACCTTACGGTAAAACGCTCCCTGAGGACAGGCAAGCGTATATCGAAAGCGTGTGTTTGTCATCCCCGGAGGTGGTCAATATTCAGAACTAACAATCATAATACATACGACAGCTGCAGGAGATGCCGGGACCAAAAGATCCGATGCTCAGGCTCGCACCCCTGCGACCAGTGTAGCAAACGAAGTTCGGCTTGTCAGTTTGACAGCACGTCACAACGGGTTCTTGTCACTCGGAGGTAAGTGCAGAAGACGGTCCTCTCTGGTGTCCCACCTAATGATCCATTGCCTCTTGTAGATATCTTGATAGTCTTCACGAGCGAATAGCGTCTGTCCAGCAGCGCCTTTCTCATCATGCCTCCAGCAGGTTGACTTCGGAGCGACGGGAACACTCGACCAGTGAGTGGCAGTAGCATCCAATCAGCTTGGGTATCCCACTTAAACAATGTCTAGGTCGCGAGATGCAATCTCCAGAGCCTGTGGACAGCGACCAGAATCAAGGTTTACCACCAGAACATGCGCCCCTCAAGGCGCCTGGGATACATGGCGGGAGGGAACCAAAAGCCCCTCTCACGAACCCCCTGGCCTTTCATGTCACGGATTGGGCACAAGGCCCTATGGGCAAACCGCGTGCGCTCCTCCCGATTCACCATCGCCGGCTGAGCTGCTGTTGACCGTCATAGTAGTATTCATGGGCACGTCGTCTACGTGGGCCTTCGGTCGACGGGTGTTAGGGATGACCCATATGCGACTGACGGGCCTACCGCTGACACCCGATCCGGACAAATTGCTGTTTGATCGGCATGTCTATGACGCCGGATGGGATGGAAACAAAGCCAATACCCCTAGTAATATGTTTGATGTCTCAAACCTTCCCACGGCCGATTTTGCCCGCTATCTTATCAACTCGGTCAAGTTCCACTGCGGTCACCTCTTCTATCTTTTTGAGGAAGAGTCGTTTATGGAACAGTTTGCCGCCTTCCAACAGAACCCTTCGGAAAAATCGCGTTCTTCGCCGCTGTGGTTTTGCCATTACTTGCTAGTCCTCGCATTTGGTAAGGCTTTTGTGGTGCAATCGGTGCGATCGCGAAGTCCTCCGGGGTATGATCACTTCATCCAAGCCATGCAATGTATGCCTGATTTTACGTTCTTTGACGGCGACCCAATCGAGATGACGCAAGTACTCTGCTGTGCCGCGCTCTATCTGCAGTGTATCTACAGACGTGGACCAGCCTACCGCATGGTAAGATAAACGTCTAATAATTCGAGCAATTCTTTTTTTGACCGCCATACTGATTCCCCTAGCTGGGCACGGCGCTACGCTGGGCTCTAGAGCATGGCATGTATACCGAAATGCACGGGCTCTGTCTAGACGAAGCCTACGTACAGCGGTGCAGCCTCATGTGGTGGACCATCTACACGCTCGAACGTCGGATGTCGTCTCTGCTAGGGGTGCCAATGGGAATATCGGAGGAAAGCATAAGTGCTTCGTTTCCTGCGATATCCCAAGAGATCCAAGGCGCCAATGTGCTCGAGATGCAAGTGATGCTGTGCCAGATTTTGGCAAAAGTGGATCTCAGTGAGTTGGGGAACATCCGGCGCTTTTCGTGGCTAATTGAAAATAGCTGTGTACGGTAGCGAAGGGAAACTTGACAGTCGGTACCTGAGCGCCACGCAGTCCGTTCTCCGCGATATCGCCAACGTGACCGTACAGCTGAACGCTTCGTTCGACCTATACGCCAACGGGTCCATGAGTGGCACATCGCGCATCTCAGCGCATTTGCATTTGCTCGAGCATCAGGTATGATAGTGCCGGGCTATGTGCTTTCTGATGATATGCTCATCCCATCCAGTGCATCATTCTCACGACCAGACCGCTTTTGTACATTTTCCTCCAGTCGAAGCTTGGCCAGTCCGACCCGGCACTCATGGAATGGCTGCAATCAGCTACAGTCAAAGCTTTGCTCCATGCATGCGTGGAGTCTGCCCAGCAAATTCTCCGGATTCTATCAAACCTGCTCGAACAGGGTCTCTTGGGTAAGTGGCTATTTTGACCCATTGAAAAAGGCCGTTGTACTAAATATGTGTCGTCAGAAACATTCCTCCCTTTCGATATGGATGCGGCGTTCATCTCGACAATCCCTCTCATGATGGCCGCGACAATTGATCAATCACTACTACAGGACCATTCACCCTGGTCTCAGCGTGCCTACACCATATTGGAAGATATGAGCACCCGTGGCAACATCTGCGCTCGACTGGCGCAGTCGGAGTTGAAGCAGTTGGATCACGAACTTGCTCAATTATCCTTGAAAAGCAACGTGCCAACGGTCCTGGCCACCGGTCTTCGTGGACCTGGAGATGACAGTGGCCCCATGGACATCGTAACATCGGGCGCTCCTGGTGGCTATAGCCAATCGCTTGAGCTGGAATTTGCGGACAGCTTTCGACAACACTATGAACTCAGCCCCGATCAGTTGATGGAGCTGGCTAATTCATTGGATTTGAATAGCTTGACCTGGCCACTTCCGTCAATGGATGACATCCCGGCCCATGATCTCTAGATATGCCAGGATCACATCTAGTGTTATTATCGGAGTACTGTCAGCTGTAGCTATGGCCTAATTGATATCAATATGCGTAGGGTTTATTTATTGGCCATTGATAAGGCTGTCCTTGGAGATCGCCCTCGGCAAGACCCAACAATAGATAAAAAGAAAATTTAAGAATCGCACAAGTATGAGGATAACCACAACCAATGGAGTATGCGAACAAGATGATAGTCCACGCTAGGACGTTAGGCTTTCTTAGCTAGGCTGAACCCTTGCTGAAGGTCAGCCTCGTCAGCCTATGCTTCTGACTTAGAAAGCTTTCTTTACCCCACCGTTCCAACTATGCTTAACACCACCTCACCATCTGATACTTGAAGAGAATCAACTACACACTCATTTCAACATGCAGGAGAAGTTCTTTAAGCTAGGGATGCGGGTCGATCCAGGACAGCCAGATACAGAAGGTTCCGCTCTCCAGCGCGCCGCAGTGAAGGGCGACGCGAGCGCCATTGCGAACTTGGTGAAAGACGGCGTTGATATAAATGCTCGTTTGGACAAAGGATGGACAGCATTACATATCGCTGCTGCCGGCAACTTTCCCGACTTTGTCGATGGACTACTTCAATGTGCGGCGGATTGGCAGATGAGCATCGAAGATGGTTCAACTGCCCTGCATATGGCCGCCGCAAATGGCCATCATAAAGTCGTCGAGGTGCTATTGCGCCATGCGACTCGAGCCAATGTGAAGCGAAGTAGTGATGGGCTTCAGCCCCTCCATATAGCTGCCGGTCGGGGTAGGGAGGATGTACTTCGGGTGTTGATTGATGCCTACGCTCAGTGCGGGATGGACATCGACAGTATCGCAAATTACGGTGAGACTGCACTGGAGAGTGCATGCCACGGCGGGAATATCGAGTGTGTGAAGATGCTGGTGTCCGCAGGTGCCAATGTCAACGCTATTGTCGATGATCGCGGTCGCACCCCTCTCATGAACGCCGCTACAACTGACAAAGACCAGGTCGCGCGAGTCCTGTTAGATGCGGGTGCCGAGATTGATTGTATCCATGATACTGGGATCACAGCGGTGGAAATTGCAGCATTCTCGGGAAGCTTGAACATTCTGCGCGTTTTGATTTCAGAGGGCGCCAACCTTGATCATATGGACAACCGAGGACATACACCGTTACGCGCAGCGCTTATGGGCCAGCATCCCGAAGCTGCCATGCTCCTACTCAAGGAACGGATCAAGGTCAACAGAGCCTATGGAGAAAATGAGTGCACGGCCCTCCATCTGGCTGTTTCTGCAGCCTATCTCGATGTGGCCGAAGCGCTGATCGGCAAAGGGGCCGACATTGATGCGTGTGACGCCGACGGTGATACACCACTCCAGTGGGCGGTTGAAAAAGGGTCTCTGGAAATGGCCAAGAGTCTGCTCCGCAACGGAGCTCAGATAAACAAGCGAAATGAGAACACCGGCGAGGTGGTGTTACATTGGGCCATCAAATGTGGCCATGTCAGCATGACAGAGTTACTGCTTGCCCGCCGAGCGGATCCATCATTCATCGACCTGGATGCGATACAAAGACACGAATCGGCAGATGAAGAGCAAGTCGAGACTTGCAAGGTCCTAGTCTCCACAGCCCCTTCTCTGGATGACATACCTGATGTTGGCGAGATTGAACTTTCGCCGCCCCCGAAGCAATCGCCCATGTCCACTGTCATAGAACGCCAATCGATAAACTCTGCAAATAATGCAGGAAATAAACATGGAGAAATATATATTGATGAGCGTATCAGGCATCCGGTGCTGCACATACCATCGCACATAGCAGCGCAAGATATTATCTCCAAATTTGGAAGCAGTGTGGAGCACATCGGTGTTACGTGCGACGGGCCTCTATGCAAGGCGAAGTCGGAGAGCATCAAAGGGGCGCGTTTCAAATGCTGCTGGTGTGAAAATGTGGACTTTTGCTCAAGTTGCATGGCCAGCTTCCACAACAATCATCATCCTAGTCACTCCATGATACACTGCCAAATACCAACCCAGTTTCATACTGTAAAGGAGATGGATGATGCGTCAAAGCGGTCTTGTCTCGAGGCGTGCGGAGACCCGTCAGTTTCCATAGAAGACCTGAGTCACATTGTCTATGCATTTCCAGATAGCGAATCTCTGCAAGTGCAACTCATCTCTACCGAGCACCACCTGCAGGACGAGGAAGTTGAGCGGCTTCTGCAGGGGTTTGGCCCTACCGGGTTCCCAGTTGTCAGATCCACGCTTGAAGGCAGCGTCTTTGCGGGCTTTCGCAATCGTGACATCATCAGAGAAGGCGATCATAAGCCGGGGGCCATGCCTTTTATCAAAATCGACGAGGCTGGCAACGTCCGCATGAAGAGTTACCACAAAGAAATGACTCAAAATACCGTCCGGAAGGATGAAGTTGTTCTACACCACCAAGACCCGAAGCTTTTAGCAAGGGTTTTGACGGGGCAGCTCCGGTTATATGATTATTCCGAAGACGAAACGTTGATAGACTGGGCGAGGCAGGATCGCCTTGTCACTCGCTTGATCGATATCAAGCCCGGAAATTTTGACGACAAGCTCGAGATCGACATCAGGGTTGTCGACTTGGATAGTAGGCCCACATATGAGGCTTTATCCTATACCTGGAAGGAGACCGCGTACGAAAGGGCAATTGTGCCCTCTTGGTCGCGGGAGGAGAATGAAACAGCTCGGAAGATGGCCAAGTTTCTTCACGGCGTATACTGCAAAGACAAATCCGGAAATGAACGATATCTGACGATCAACTGCGGACTTCGGGATGCGCTGAAGCAAATGCGCCATGCATCCGACACCAAAACCTATTGGATCGATCAGCTGTCGATCAACCAGTTAGATTTTGGGGAGCGAAGGTTTCAAGTTACAAGTATGATGTGGTTCTACAATCGAGCACAGCAAGTGACGCTCTGGGTGGGCGATGAGGAGGAAAGCACCGGGGATGTTTTCGACATCTTTCGAAAGATTGCCCACCGGTTTCATAGCCAGGGGTTCTTCCCTGGCCCGGACGAGATGCTGGCAGACCCGGGGCTACATTTGCCTTCATTCGATTCGCCCGTCTGGAATTCGGCAGTAGACTTTTTCAACCGCCCCGTGTTCAGTCGCTGCTGGGTTACCCAAGAGGTGGTCGTCGGTCGGAAAGTCATGGTTCGGTGTGGGAAGTTTACTATGGACTGGACTGACCTGGTTCGAGTGGCTCAAACTTTTAGCCAGCGCCCATGGCTCAACAAATTACCACGGGACAGCCTGGAGATCTCTGCTGCCACTATTCTACTCCCACCCAGTGGCCCTGGAGGAGAGGAAGCTCGACCCGGCGGTCTGCCCTCCGTGGTCATGGTGAACGGCCTCCGCGAAGACTTCCAGGCGCTGAAGATGAATTCAGTAGAGAACCTGCTGTATATTGCCGGTGTATTCCAGGCCACGGAACTCCGCGATCGAATTTACTCTGTCCTTGGACTCCAGGGCGCCAATATCAGTCGTAGTGATGCCCAAGTGGTCGAACCGGACTACGAGAAGCCAGTAGAGGATGTCTTTGCTGAGGCCGCCAAGGCCTGCATCATGCAATCATCTTCTCTGACAATCTGCGGCCTCAAAGATTGCGCATCCCCCCAAATGCAGGAGAGCCTTCCGTCTTGGGTGCCTAACTTCGCCACGACTACCCTCACCTCTAACACCTCGCTCTGCCGCCCTTTACCACTTCGCCCGTACGACGCCTGTGGAGACACATCCCTCGTAGCAGCATGGCCGTACGAGGAGCGGCCCGACCTGCTTGTTACCTCTTCATGCAACATTGAAACTGTCGTTAGTCTTTCGGACAATTTACCCCGGGGTCAGGGGGCCTTGAAAAGCATCGTTGTGGAATGGACCAAACTGGCGAGCACGGTCGGGCGAGAGTATCCAACGGGTGAGTTTGCGCCTGACGTCTTTGTCCGGACCTGCGTTGTGGACACGTCGGGACCCTTACGACAGAGTCCGATGCCCAGAAACTACCATGATTCACTGTGTCGGCTGTTCGAAAGATGCTTCACTCACCATGTTGTCCTGAAATGTGGCGAGCTTAATAGACTAGATGAGACTGTCCTTCAGGAATGCACCAATCCGCTGATAGCGACCCTTATGGTGGATGCATATCAGACGGAGGGCCCAGCGAACCGCGATGAAGCGGAGCAGAGTGGAACAGCTACTGTTGACACCACGGCTAGTGGGACCTCGTTCGGCGGGGCCACTGTTGATCCTGGCGCTGTGGACGCGCTGTGGCTGGCCTGTACTAACAGGCGGTTTTTTGTGACGGGCAATGGCTTCTTCGGTCTTGGGCCGCGGGATCTTCAGGCAGGGGATGAGGTTCACATTCTGGGTGGAACACCCGTGCCTTTTGTATTAAGACCGTATGCGGCCAGCGCTGAAGGGTCGGGGGGACCTGATGAGGACAGAAGGACCCCAACCGTGTTGGACGCAATCGGCGAAGATGATATCAAGTTGTATAGAATGGTGGGAGAATGTTATATCCATGGATATATGCAGGGTCAAGTTTCCACAAGGAATGATGTGGAATGGGAAGGGATTGGGATTTTCTAAACTTCGTCCTGATCTGAGGACAGGGATATCCAGTGAAACAATATCACGGGGAGATATGGGTCTATCTGGCTTCGACTAGATCACAGTAACTGAGTATCTAGCATGGCTGCAGGGTTTCAATGCCATCTAGTGAATATTATACGACACATCCAATCCAGTCACTCAGCGGCGAACCTTGCTGGTCCTGTCACTATATACAGGATAATCACCAAAACTGTCTGTTGAGATCCCTCCACTGACGACGTAAGATGGCGTACAAATGACTGGCTAGTGCTTACCTCTCTATCGGACTAACCACAGGAATTGAAGGGAACCAAGCAGTGAATAACAGCATCAACCGGAGTTTATATAAACTCCAGCTTCTTCAGCCACGACTGGCGCTTAACTCCGGCCCGACCTCCGCCTTTGTCTCACTATAAATATCCAGACCGTTCTTGATCACCCCCTCATCAATCCCTCAACAAATTTTTTACCGATCCTCAGCCTCTGGGAGCTCATGATCATTTGGACTTGACGAATATCTACTGTGACTTTTCATAATGACCGTCGATTTGATCCAAAAAGTCGCCATCGTGGGCGTATGTCATGCCTCCGTCCCCCTACTAGCCACGATCATATGAGAAAGGGACTGACCCTTTTAGGCAACTGGTCGCATCGGTGGTGCCTTTGCCAATGCACTTGTGCAGACCGGCAAGCATACCGTCACAGGCCTAACTCGTCAAGGCAGCCACGGGCAGCAGCCCGACGGCGTGCGTCACGTCGAAGTAGACTATGAAGATGAAGCCTCGATAGTCGATGCTCTCCGTGACCAGCAGTTCCTCGTTATTACCCTCGGTGTCCGGGCGCCAGACGACCTCCATCGCCGCATCACTGTGGCCGCCGGCAAGGCCGGTGTGCCCTACATCATGCCAAACGCCTTCGGATACCCGATCTTGGAGCACGCCGAGGAGGATGAACCGGTCTTCAGCAATTTGGTCCGCGCTCGGATCGACGACGTCCGCAGCAATGGCGTGTCGTCGCCGATCTGCCTCCCCTGCGGCTTTTGGTACGAGTGGAGCCTCGCGACCGGCGAGCAGTGGTTCGGCTTCACGATCAAGTCCCGCAAGGTGACGTTCTTCGACGACGGGCGCCGCACCATCACGGTGAGCACCTGGGACCAATGCGGGCGCGCACTGGCAGCCCTGCTCAGCTTCCCTGAGTCCGGAGCGTCGCCGTCGGTCGACGACTTCAAAAACCAAGATCTACGCATCTACAGCTTCCAGGTGTCGCAGCGGGACATGCTCGATAGTCTGCACCGCGTGCTGGGGACGACCGACGCCGACTGGGAGATCACGTACGAGCCTATCGAGAAGCGGATTGCGGATGGCGAGCAGGAGAATGCCAAGGGCGTCATAACAGGGTTCGCCAAGGCAATGTATGGGCGGGTGTTCCGGACGAACAATGCTGTGGCGGACTTTGCGGATACAATGTCCACGGCGAACGAAGTTCTCGGGTTGCCTACGGAAGATCTGGACGAGGCAACAAGGCGAGCGGTGCAGATGCTCGACGCCGGTTGGAATCCCTTTGGTCTGGCGGTTTGATCCATGTGCTGCGGTGGTCTAATTATTTTACTCCAAAGGTCAGCGTGGACCGCGTTCGTGACAAACAAGAATGCATTTAATAACCATTGAAACCAGGAAAATGAAAATTTGTTCTGTCTGACTTAGTTACATTAATCATATAAACATCACTCGCGCGGGACTTTTCATCCAGTGTTCATTACAGCGTGGCTCCAATCCATCATAACTGCCTGCCTGTCCCGGGAAGATCCTGATATGTATGAAAATGACGGACCCAGAACCACCAACGCAGGACATTGAATAATGACAACAGCAATAGCAATCATTGATAAAAGTTGAAAGTTGAAAATAAGAAAGATGAATTAGTGAAGAGGTAAAGAAATGAGGAAGTCAGGAAATGGGGAAAATAGGGAATGTTTGAATGATTAATGAGAATAAGGATTATCCTCCCTACGAGCTTTGGCTTGAGGTCTCCGCCTCAATCCACTGGGAGAAATCGGGCATGGGATCCAGACGCTTGCGTAGGATCTTGACCTTGAAATGCCAGATGGCATTCCGGAGCTGATAAGCAGCATGCACGCGGGTCGGCACGGAGAAGACCTGGTCAAGTTCCTCCAGGGTGAGGGCTATAATTGTAAGTATTCGCCATCTATATAGACCAGGAAAATGAAAAGGGACAGGATAAATCTTACATTTCGTCTCCGGGACGAACAGCAAAACAAGGAACGTGCCCAGCACACACCAGGCGGCGTACCAGCAAAAGGCACCCTGGGGGCGGAAGGTGCTCTTCAACATGGGCCAGGTGAAGGACAGAATGAAGTTGAAGCACCAGGTGGTAGCCGTCGCCCACGACATGCCGACCTCGCGAACATTGAGGGGGAATGCCTCAGCCGAGTAGGTGAAGGGGACGGGGCCTTCGCCGGGCGAGTAGAAGACCTCAAAGAGGTACATCCCTGTGGTGACCATGGCGACGCGGGCCTTGCTCTCTGGATTGTTTTCATCGATCCAGAACGAGAAGCCGGTCCAGAAGAGGCAGAGGGCGAGCATGGGGAAGGTGAAAAGCAGCAGGTTGCGACGGCCCCATGTGTCGATTGTGAAGAACGCGGGCAACGCGAAGACCCAATTCAGGATTCCTGTGCCCATGGATGCCAAGAGGGCTTGCTTGATCGAGTAGCCGCTGTCGGTGAAGATGGTGGTCGAGTAGTATGCAATGACATTGACTCCACAGAACTGCCGTTCACTTAGTTTCGCCTGAAGTGAGTCGGGGAAGAGGGAAGAAAAAGAATACCTGTTGCATGAACATGACAATCCAGCTGGCCAGTGTCGCGCGTCGAATTCGCGGGACGGTGAACAGCTCCATGCACATCGTAAAAAAGTTCTTCCCCTGGTTGACTTGACGTTCCAGCTGGACCCCCACATACGCGTAGTACAGATCGCGGGCCGCTTGAAGGTCTGTGGGGCGCAGGGTCTGGAAGGCTGCAAAGGCCTTGTTGATTCGGTTGTGCTGGATCAGCCAGCGGGGTGACTCGGGGCATAAATACACTTGGATGCAGACGAAAATGGGGAGGACGACAGTGGACCCCAACATGAGGCGCCAGGCGAGGTCTTTTTCGACGTCCATGAAAGCGACGCCCATGATGTTGCCCAGCATGATGCCAAACGCCGTCCACATCTGCCACATCATGACGAGGGCACCGCGGATGGGTGCAGGTGAGCACTCGGCGGCGTAGACCGGGACTGTTGACGACTTGGACCCGATTCCCAGGCCCAAAACAAAGCGCGCAACGAACAGGTTGACCCACGAGTTGGCGACGCCCTCCCAAATGGACGCGACGGCCGCGATGAAACATGACCAGAAGATGGTGCCCCGTCGCGCCAGGTACCGGTTCAGGGGCTCAGTCAACCAGCAGCCGAGAATGGCGCAAGCCAGGTAGGGGGCGCCGACGACCAGACCAGTCAGGTAGTCCTGCATGGGCTTATCGAACCGGAAGTTGGTATCGTTTTCATCTTCGGGGACGATGCCAAGTTGCTACCTCTGTTATTGAAGAGCCTTCTCCACACACATAGCCACGGACGGAGTGGATCTGTCGCCTACCGTGAGATAGATAGCTTGCGCCCCATTGTTGACCGTCTCATCCATTCCCTGCACCGCCGCCGCCAGGGAGCACATGGCTACGAGACTGTTAATCCCTATTCCGCTGAAACAACCAGTGTGAGAGAAAGATAGCTGCGCATACCGGCCAGGAAGTACAGCATCCACGGCTGGGACCACTTGTGCGTCCGCTCGCGGATGATAGCCTCTCTCTCGCTCTCTGTCAGTTCAGGAAGGGCTTCGGCCGCTCGCGGGTTTTGCGAGAGGAGGGCACCCTTGCGGAAGGTGTCGCGATAGTCCTCTAGCTTGTGATCGTGGCAAAAGCGATCCACATCGGCGAAGAGCTGGTCCCGAGGGATGCCCGCCAGGGGGTTCTCAAAGACCGCACCGAGTCGGTTGGCAGACGCACCCTCGACATCATAAATACCGTGTTTGCGGCCCTCGGCATGCTCAACCGTTGGAGCTCCAGAGGCCTTTCTCTCAGCCTTATTCTCCTCGGCAGCCGAGCTCAAGGATTCGTTAAATTCCATGGTGTGGTATGTTGGAAAAGGGATTTTTCCGTGGTAGCGGTTTTCTCCAGCCCAAGATTTGAGAAGAGTAGACTCGTCTCATGTTGGATTCACCATCAGTCCCCGTGGGGGAAACGGCCACGGAGAGATGTGGGGAGGTCCACTGCGTTTATGTACCCCAGGAACCACAGGCCGGTCCACCGATCTCAATGAATCCTACCTTGATTCGTCAACATCGGTGCTGGGGGTCAACGACGAATCCCCCAATTGGCATCGCATGGAAAGATTTCCTCATGGGATGCCCTCCTAGCGAGTTTGCGGGACGCACCAGGATTGGAGGACCAAGTGAACTATGATTAGCTCCCTTGAAGGACGTGGAAGCCATTAATTGAAGTGCCACCCACGTCAGGATGCAACGGCCACGGGGTAAGACGGGATGGTTCCAGGATTCTAGACTATCGGCGCGGGAGAATAAGCATAGCAAGCTTTTGTCCACCCGTTGGACCCGGTTGGGTCAGCGCACGCCCAGCGGATCACCGAACGGGGGAACGCCACTGACGGCTTGTGCGAGGGGGACATGTTCGTCGGACCTATCAGACGGAACATCCATCGGATACGCACGATGGATAACTGCTCGAATGTAACAGTTGACCACTAGAATAGAACCGGGATACCCCTTTTGGGAACGGATGGCTCAGTGTCGGTTGGTCCGCCCGCCCGCTGATTCCACGGTTGAGCAAACCCTAACCCTCGTGGGATGGTCGACAATAAGCTTCCTGTTTAGAAACTTACTGCCCGGAAGGATCCGGATAATCACCGAAGGCTTTGAGGGTTCTGAAGGTTCTGTTCCAATTCTACCTGTTAGGGTTGGTCTAGAAGCCCTATAAGTGCCTCCAAAGCCACCCCTCGTCGACCAGGCCAGGCGGACGCCATTGAGCACTCTATTGAATCGAGGTTCCTTTTGCGGGCCTTGATCAGGAGATTGTGGCCGCATGATAAGTACACGCCAGCCACCGACTCAACTATGCATTGGTGTGTTAGGGAACGAGGTGCACTTGCTAACATAAGCTGGTGGGATGTCGCCAGTGGGTGTGGAACGTGACCACCATTGTTCGCGATGGACTGGCGGAGACCAGCTAAATGAAATCATTCAGTCATAGACAATCAGCGTAGTCTCCTGATAATATGCTCCATCGCAAGACCATGATCCGAGCAGAGTGTGTGCTTGGATCTTGTGTAGTTTACTGCCGTCAGCTTCATCCCCAAGATACGATCAATCTACGGTCCGCCTCTGGCTAATCATAATCTGTCCGACCAACTGAATGGACGAGGTGCTATTCGTGAAACAAAGGACAAAAAACGGGATGTTGGGTGGCTGACTTCCAAGACAAAGGGTCAACCAGAGGGGCAAGGGACAGGAGCGCACAACTGGGAATGATAGCACCTTGCTGAACTGATATCCCTTCCTCAGGGAAAACCTGGCATGGCCTGATGGCCACAGTATGAGAGATCATCCGAGTCTGAATGGCATCAAGATCCAAGACGTAACCTGGCTCCGACTGGGACTGATCGGACTTCCATGGCTTCAAACTCACCTAGGCAGAGACCATCTCTCTGCCCATAAATATCGGATTGTGGATTGGTTAGAATCGTAAACCCGCGTAAGCACTAGTCCCAGTTGAACCCCCCGAAAGCGCCCATTCAGCCTTGCAGCACGGACCGTGCTCACAAGGCGGTGCTTGGAAGAATCGCCGATGTCTACATCGGTCAGGCAATAGATTGACCTCCCATTGCATCCCAAGTTTTATCGTTGCTCTCAATACAGCGGGTAAAGAACCAACATTGAAGCACCATGCAGTGGGTTACCGGCATCGTGAGGTCATTTCAGGTAATACCTGAACCCGTGGATCGACTCGACATGCCCCGACTGATCGACCACGAATAGTTCCTCTTCGGAGTCGTCGTCCTCGGCCTCTCGGTCGCACTGCTTCTCGGCCAGCACTGGCTTTCCCCGCCGGCGGCCACCAAATATGCCATATTTACCGGCACCTTCGGCATGCTCGCCGCTCTCGTCGGGGTCGCAGCACTCTACCTCGATTGCCTGGCCGGTTTGATCACCTGGGCTGTCGACGGACTAGCCGGTGTGGCTCTTCTCGCGGGCGGAATCGCAAGCACCCCCAACCCCTGTCTCTTTCTCCGCCTAGATCCAATCGCTAACAGGACGACAGGCCTTTGCCGCCATCTTGGGGGGCACAGATTGCTTCAACGCTCGTGAAACGAGCACGAATCAGTTACTCAGCGGGGGATGTTGGGATTTCGAGGGCCGGAAGGGTTGCTGGCACATGGCCAACTTCGACACCGATGCTCTCGAGAAGCGGTGCATGTCGGCCAAGGCCGACTCGGCGTTCATGTTCTTGTGTTTCGCAACCTCACTCGCCGCGATCGCATGCTCGGTGTTTTTGTCCCGAAAGGGCGACGGGGGCCCTCGTTACACCCCGGCGCATCTGCAAATGTTTCCGTGTTGACTGGGTCATGTACGTCGAGTGATTCCCCAATCAGGGATTACGGAACTATGAAAGCAAAGTAAATCCGAGACGTTAATTCCTATCTAAGCTGCGCAACAGCCGTATCAACGGGGTAGCTTCGCCGACAGCCTTCCCAGCCAGCCGTTCTTGCGCGTCGCGCGCGACGGCGAAGTCTCTGTCCACCCATCCGGGGCTTCTCGCGTGGGAGACCCCCTCCTTCGCTTCCAGTTGAATTCTGTATTGGTCATGTGGCCCGGACGGTAGGCGCGCCCGTAGAGTTCCTGCGCTTCCTCCTCCGTCCGGATCCGTAAAATATCATACGTGCTGGCTGCAGTCATGGCGGCGTCGCGCTCCCGGGGCAGAGTCGTCCGGTCGCCCACAACCTGGACATTCACCCCGCGGGCGCGGAATCCATCCCCCGCGGTCTGGTCTTCAGTTCCCGTGACGAAGACGGTGATCCGCGACGGCTCGACGGGGTAGGCGAGAAGGTAGTCCAGGGTGTCGGCGTCGACGCCGCTGGGGATTGGGCCGATCACAAAGCGGTGGTCGCGGGCGATGGCGGCGTCGATGGGGGCAACGTAGTGGGTCTTGAAGTATTCGGCCCTGGGGCCGGTGTCGATCGGACCTGAGATGAAGGCCACCTCGGGCTTTGGCATGTTTGTGAGGGGAATCTCAAAGTCGAGGGAGTGGCGTGGAAGTGGATTTCTGGTGGGACGTCAGGCGTGGTCGAGTTAATTTATGGCCAAGGTGGAGATATCAGCCTCGTCGGGCAGCCTTGCTAGGCAATGATGGCTGGAGCCACCATCGAACCCATGGATGAGAGAGTCTGGAGTCATCTGCCAACGGCGGAGTGGCTGGAGCGTCGTAGAGTATTAACTAACTGGCGAGGCTGACAGGTACGATCGGCCATCGGAGGTATTTCGGGGATGCGCAGTCGAGTGATCGGCGCGGATACATGCCGTCGCGGGGAACCTGATGCAAGCTCTCTTCTTCACCCACGCGGTTTTTTTAGGTAGGCAACCATCATGTCGGTCTCCCTAAATTGTATTGGAGTCATATCCATTGGGGAAATGGGCCTGGGCGTCGCCCGCCTGCTCATCGCCCATGGATATCGCGTGGTGACCTTTGTGGCCGATCGCAGGTACGGACCGCGCCCAAGATATATCATCTGAACGATACGAGTCAGGACTGTTAACACCAAACAGCGCCACAACACAAAACCGGGCCTCGTCTGCGGGGGTGGAGGAGTGTCAGTCGCTACGGGAAATGGTCTGTGAAAGCGACTATCTCTTGTCCATTGTTCCCCCAAAGGATGCTCACGACACCGCCCGACGCATCGCCGCTGAGCTGCCCAGTCGAGCAGCGAAACGACCTACGTCTTTGTATTTCCTCGAGCTAAATGCCATCTCCCCGAGTAGCGCACGCTCGATCGCAGCGCTCTTCGCTGCCACTCCCTCGGCCGCCGTGACCATCGATGGCGGAATCATCGGTGGTCCTCCCCAGCTTGTGGACGGTGACCGCTGGAAGAGTCCCAGACTGGTGATGTCCGGACCCAGTCCACTACCAGACAGTCGGCTCACCACCATCCTCAACGTGCGACACGTGTCGACCGAGATCGGCGCGGCGAGCGGACTCAAAATGTGCTTCGCGTCTTTGACCAAGGGCTTCACCGCATTGGCCATTCAGTCCTTCACGACGGCGCAGGGACTAGGGACGTTGCCGGAATTGCGCGACCTGCTGCAGGAACACTTCCCCGCGATGCTGTCGCGCGCCGACGCAGGGGTGCGATCCATGCCCCCCAAGGCGTATCGCTGGGTGCGGGAGATGGAGGAAATCGGAGACACCTTCGCGGACGAGGGGTTCGAGCGCGATCTGTTTTACCAGGTGGCACAGGTCTATCGCACCGTGGCGGATGACCCGATCCTGGGCCAGGAGCAAACCGGCCAGAGAGAACGGGGTCAGACGGCGGAGGATGTCGCGGGGATCTTACATGGTGCGCTTTCTAGAGAGGGGGAAGATATATAGTAACATGATCCATTGTCTTTGATTTCAAGACCTATTTTGCTCGTAGAGAGAAGGAAGAAGAAGCGTGAATGAGAAGTCGAGAAATCAGGATATCAAGAATGATTTCGGCCTTGTTTCGCGCCTGAGGCATAAGTAGATGTCTGAAAAGGTAGGCAGTAATAAGGCAGTGATATTCCCTTTTCTAGCCTAGCGTCACCCCCCCCCCTGGTGATCTCCACCATCTCCAACCCATCATCGCGACATCAAAAGCTCTTCCTCGTGATTGTCTGGATGGAAGACAGCTCCGACAGACAAAGATTACCACCTGCGCAAAGACCATCCTTTGTATAGGCATCATAGGAATGGCGGTGGGGTTCGCGAAGGTTGACTATGGGATCCACCGTTACATCCGCGCAAACCCTCACATAGCCTGGTCAAAAAAAAAACCATACCAAGCTTGTCTGGGTCCTTACATCATCCACTCGCCGGTCATCCTTGCTGAATACGGTTGGATACGGCGCTGAAGGGACAGGGATCAAACGATGTAATCTGATAGGTGGGTCCAACCGTGATGCGACAAGGCCCCCCGTTGCTGTTCCTTTGACCTGCAGTCCCAATTGTCACGAGTGAGGAAGAAAGAGAATACGAGCATCCATGACTCATCCGGCGATAATCGGTGTCGTGTCGCTGATACGGACAGAAAGACTTGGTCGATGCGTTGGTCGTTTGTTTTCCAATCTTTTCCGTCGCTGCCCCCGATTTCCCTGCGAACTGGAAAAGTTCACCCCTAAGCGACCGGGTTGAGCGATCTTCATGTCAATTATTCTCTACTGGTGTCTGGGGATTCCTCCGATCTAGTGAAGATGTCCTCATTATCTTCGCCGATGGAGGAACGGCCAGGGTCGCCCGTCTCCAAAGAGAAGGAGAAGGACCTCGACCAGCAACCCGAAGAATCTAGTCTCTCCGTGGACAAAGGGGAGGATGTCACGAAGCCGGCTTCCCTAGCGAGCTATCTGGTAATCTCCACACTTGGCCGGATACAGGGCGCTGTCCAAACTGACCATTGCAGAGAATTCTCTCGTATGGCACCCGAAATGGGGGCCTTGTTGCTATGATCGTGGGCTTGATCTGTGCCATGGGCTCGGGAATTGTACGTCAACCGGACAGGCGAGTAGCTAGTGGAAAGTGGCTAACCGTCAATAGGCCCTCCCACTGATGACTATCATATTTGGGAGGATTGTCGGGGACTTCAATTCATACACCGCGCCAGGCCAAAGTTCAAATCAGCAAAAATTCACGTCGACGATAAACAGAAACAGGTCAGCCTTCCACTACCGTGCTTTGATGGGCACTTTTCTCCGAATCTTACCATTGACGGTCCCAGTCTATACATAGTATACCTTTTCATCGGCAAATTCGTTCTCACTTATATCTCTATGGTCCGTAGACCAATTGTGGACCGGGGGTGGGATATATGGCTGACAGCTCCCTAGATATGCTTCAGAATCATCAGTCTCTATGCTTCGGCCGCTCTGCGCCTTGAGTATACGCACTCGTTGTTTTCGATGCCCGTCAGCAAGCTAGATGAGATCTCGGTTGGCACCGTCTCTAACGCGATCACCGCCCAGTCCAACACTATACAGCAGAGTGTTTCGGATCGCCTGGCAATTCTCTTCCAGTCGTTGGCGCTATTGATCTCGGCGTATGCGATCGCGTTTCGATATTCCTGGGCCATGACACTGGTCGTCAGCTCCGCCATCCTCTTCGTAATCCTATGCTTTTGCCTCACCGTCCCGTTTATGATCAAGGGACAGCAGTACACGGACCAGGCAGATAACAAACATGCCGCTATTGCCGCCGATGCCTTTGCCTCGATCCGCACGGTCTTCTCCCTGGGCGCCGAGGGCCCGCTGAGTCGAAAGCACTCCCAGTGGATCGATGAGGCCTGCAGACGGGGCCTAAGGATGTCGGTGATGACAGGCATCCACCTCGCCGCGTTGTTTTTCGCGATGTATGTCAGCTTTGCTCTGGCATTCTGGTTCGGGTTGAAACTTTACCGGGATGGAAACATCGCGAACATTAACACCGTCATCACGTATGGTCTTGGCCGTAACGGACCCCATGTGTTCAGTGTGGCTGACCAGTTGCTAGGGTCTTCTTCTCCGTGCTCCTCGTCGTGACGATTATGGGAGGCATTGCCGCTCCCCTGATGGCCATTTCCAAAGCTGTTAGCGCATCGGGGGCCTTCTTCGGAGTGATCGACTCCGAGCGTGCCCCCACCGCCGGGCTTCGGGAACCCGAGGCCACGAGCCAGGCAGATATCGTTTTCGAGAACGTCACCTTTGCCTATCCCACTCGCGCGGAGACCCAGGTTCTCAAAGATCTCAGCGTGCGGCTCCCGCGGAGTAAGACCACGGCGCTCGTCGGGCCTTCGGGCTCGGGGAAGAGCACCATTGTTGCCCTAGTTGAGAGATGGTATCAGCTACAAGGCCCCACAGATCTTGAGAAAGAAACCACGAGTGGACGGATCCTCGTTGGTGAACACGATATCAACGACCTGGACGTGAAATGGTGGCGCTCCCAAGTGGGGTTGGTGCAACAAGAACCCTTCCTCTTCAACGAATCGATCTTCCACAACGTGGCTTTCGGCTTGATAGGTTCGAAATGGGAAAATGAGTCGGAAGCTGTCAAATTGGAGATGGTCATCGAGGCGTGCAAGGAATCATATGCGGACGAATTCGTGGAGCGCCTCCCCGAGGTAGGATCACCCTGTCCGATGCCATTTTCCGGTTCTAGCATTTCAATCTGTTCTCTAACATGACACCAGCGGTATTCCACAAGAGTCGGCGAAGGTGGCATCAATCTGAGCGGCGGGCAACGCCAGAGGCTTGCCATCGCTCGAAGCATCGTTGGCCAGCCGTCTATCTTGATTCTTGACGAGGCGACTAGTGCCATCGATGTTCGTGGCGAGAAAATTGTCCAGGCCGCCCTGGATCGTGTTTCTAAGGATCGCACGACGATCATGATAGCTCACCGCCTGTCGACAGTCCGCCGCGCCGACAATATTGTGGTGATGCAGAATGGGACGTGCGCGGAACAAGGTTCTCACCGAGAATTGATGCTCCACGGTGGAGTCTACCGAGACCTCGTCAACGCGCAGCAGTTGGAGCCCCTGGTTGGGTCGGAAGAGCCTGCCGCGGTGGACACAGTTATCTCGCAGAAAGAAGAGCTGCTTCACCCGGAGGAATATCCCGCCGATGAGAAGGAGGAAGGCTCTGTAAAGGAGACGAAAACAAAAAGCAGAGGCTTTATGCGGAGCGTGAGCATCATACTTTCTGAGCACCGCAAGTACTGGCTCTTGTTTGTGGTGGTTATCATCAGTGCCATTGGAGGCGGATGTAAGTGCCCATTATTCTCATGCGGCCCTCGAGCGATCGTAAGCTAATACAACTCAGCTGGCTACGCACTACAGAGCTGGCTGTTTGCCAAGCTGATACAGGTCTTCCAGTTCAAAGGACAGAAGCTAGTTGACGGCGCCAATTTCTGGGCCCTGATGTTTTTCATTCTGGCCCTTGCAATGGCAGCCTTCTATTTCGTACTGGGCACAGCTACCAACACGATTTCTATGGTACGTCACTACATAGCCTGTCTTCTTGCCTGCGAACCCGACGGCTGATAAGATGCAACTAGCGTGTCGGAACAACCTATCGCAAAGAGTACTTTGCCAACATCCTCAAAAGACCAGTGTCGTTCTTTGATCGCGATGAAAACTCCTCCGGTACACTCATCTCGCGTCTCTCTTTAGATCCCAAACAGGTGCAGGATCTACTAGGTCCTATGGGCGTGTTCCCCCTCATCTCTGTGTTCAACGTGACTGGGTGTGTTATCATCTCATTCGTCTTTGGCTGGAAACTGGCGGCGGTTACATTCTTTGGGGCGATGCCCTTTATCCTGCTGGCAGCCTTCATGCGCATCCGCCACGAGACACATTTCGAATCGATGAACGCTGCAGTATACGCGGACAGCTCCAAGTTTGCGACCGAGGCGATCCGGGCGTTCCGCACGGTCACCGCTCTGACCATGGAGGACACGATCATTCAGCGGTATTCAAACCTGCTCAGAGAGCAACGCGCCAAAGCTTTTCGGAAGTCGTGGTACGCGACCTTGGTTTTTGCATTCTCCGATAGTGTCGAGCTCTGTGCCATGGCACTTACTTTCTGGTATGAGTTGCCCTTTTAGACTTTCTTCTCTTCTCTCATACGGAATCGTGAGTTGTAGGTGGCAAGGACTAATGAATGGAACAGGTACGGCGGGCAGCTCCTGGGGTCCCATGAATACGGGGGTACCGCATTCTTCGTGGTGTACATTGCCATCATCCAGGGCGGGCAGGCGGCAGGCCAATTTCTCTCGTTCGGACCCAACGTTGCACAAGCTAGGTCGTCTGCGAACCGGATTCTCGCATCGCGAAAGCCGGTCGAGGGTCAGCTTGAAGATCCAGCCGCCGAACCAATGCCACCCGATTTACGCCCCTCGGTGGAGCTGAGGGACGTCTCGTTCAGCTATCCTGGTCGCGACGTGCTGACATTCGACAAACTCAATGTTTCCATCGAAAGCGGCCAATTCATCGCATTCGTCGGTCCTTCGGGCTGCGGCAAGTCGACAACCATCTCCCTTTTGGAGCGGTTTTACGACCCCACAGAGGGCCAGATCCTCTTCGGCGGCCGGGACATAACCACAATCCAGCGCACGTCCTACCGGCGGTCATTATCGCTCGTGGCGCAGGAACCGAAACTATTCGAGGGGACCATTCGCGACAATCTACTTCTTGGTATCGAGGGCACACAGGGGGCGCAAAGCGAAGAACGCCTGATACAAGCCTGCAAGGACGCCGAGATCCACGACTTCATTACATCTCTCCCAGACGGGTACCTGACGGAGCTTGGCGTCAACGCGCAAGCTTCGCTTAGCGGCGGGCAAAAGCAAAGACTCTGTATTGCGCGCGCTCTCCTCCGAAACCCGCGCCTTCTGCTCCTCGACGAAGCGACGTCCAGCCTGGACTCCCAATCTGAGAAGCTTGTGCAGCAAGCCATGGAGCGACTTGCCGGTACCAAGAGTATGACGATCATCGCCGTAGCGCACCGTCTGGCGACCATCCAGAAGGCCGACGTGATCTTTGTATTTGGAGAGGGAGCGCCCGGTCGGGGGTCGACGATCCTCGAACAGGGGTCCCACCATGAGCTGCTCCGGAACAAGGGTGCTTATTGGCAAATGGTGTGTATATCCTATCTTCTCCTGGCTCTCCACATACTGATCTGTGTTCTAGTGTCAAGCGCAAGCCCTAGATCGGTAGATGCGGTCGTGTGGCGTGGTATACTCTCCTCTCCGTGTATAGTATAGAATCTCGTAGTCTAGTATATCCCCATCCAATCAACAATGTGTTTTACACGCCATTAGGTGCACACAACAATGGGGTAAAGCAGCATTGTCCAGTCGCGTTAATTATCCACCGACAGTAAAAAGACAACCGCAAGAGACTATCGGTAGGAGACCGTTACCTCGTCATTGTAACCTCGGCAGTCTAACTATATCTGTAGCCTTCAAACCATCGCCCCGCGTATTTCCCCGCTCTCCTCCTTGCCCCTCCCACACGCTGACATCCCAAACCCATCCACCAGCACTATGACCACAACCACCAAACTGGGCCACGACCCAGCCAATTATTGGACATACGATGGCGAAACAGCCACTATAGACCTCACGCGAGGGAAAGGGAACCCCACGCAGCATGTCACCCTACAAACGACAACCAACCCCATCCGTGTCAATCCAGCCACAACCGCGCTCGTCATAATCGACATGCAGAATTACTTCCTGTCGCCCGCGCTACGGCCTCCGACCGATGGGACTCGCAAGCTCAGTGCCGGCCAACGCGCCGCGGCGAACCTTCTCGCGAGCGCAATCCCGGGAGCACGCGCGCACGGCATCCCCGTCGTGTGGCTCAACTGGGGCCTCTCGGAGGAGGATCTCCGAACGATGCCGCCGGCGATTGTGCGCACGATGGGTCGGTATAACGCGGGGGCTACGTGTGCCGATCTGAGCGACATGGTTCGGACGAAAGACCCCGCCGTGTATCGCGGACTGGGGGAGGACCTCGGCGGCGTGACGCTGGAGGATGGTAAGATTGTTGAGGGAGGAAGGATCCTCATGCGAGATACATGGAACGCAGGATTATATGGAGAGCTGGACGAAGAGTACCGTCGACATGCGGGTGGCTCGCGTGACGCCGACGTGGTGGTCTACAAGGACCGCATGTCTGGGCTGTGGGGGAGCGGGACACATCTTGAGCGACATCTTCTGGAGCGAGGGATCACGACTTTACTGTTTGCGGGAGTCAATACGGACCAGTGCGTGGGGTCTACGCTGACGGATGCGTTTAGCAAAGGGTATGATTGTGTGCTTTTGCGGGATGGGACGGCGACGACGTCGCCTGCTGCGGCGAGTGAAGCTTGGGAGTATAATTGTACGAATAGTTGGGGGTTTGTGATGACTTGCGAAGCGTTGAATGTATGACTATGACCACAAGTCCCGTATTGGGTCACATGATAGGGAATATATACAGAATAATAGAAATGAAGGACGCGTCAAACCATGCTTCCCTTGCCCTTCCGTCCCATGACGACCGGTCCAGCGCCGGAAGGGTCCGGGGCGAGGACGTGCATGTCCATCTTCTTCTGGTAGGACACTTTACTCTTCGATGACGCGGTCCGTAGCATGGTCCAACGCAGATGCGGCAGCGGACATAGCAGTTCGTCGATCGCGTCGATCAGCCAGCCGCCGAGTCCGCGACCCTGGTAGTCGGGGAGGACGTAGAGGTCCGTCAGGTAGGCGAAGGTGACGTCGTCGGTGATGAGTCGGGCGAACCCGATCTGTTTGTGGTGCGGGAGAGATGTGTCGTAGAGGCCAAAGCAGAACGAGCGATCGATGATCTTCTGCAGGATGTCCTTGGGGAAGGGCTGTGACCAGTAGCAGAAGTCTTGGGCGAACGCGTTGTTGATGGCGTCGAGGGACAGGAGGGATCTGTCGGTGGAGATGACAAAGTGGTCGCGCGACCAGGTGGCAGGGTCAGACGGGAGAGACATGGTTCTTCTTTCGGGATCCTTGAGCTAGGTGGATGAGAAAGAGTTGGATAGATGGTGAGTTGAAGTTCTACAAAAGTCCCGTGTCTCGGTGACTCATTTAGGGCTGGTCCCACCCCGTGATATCTTTCTCTCGTGTTGCTATCCCATTATCGGGCCCTTGCCTACTCTCTCTGTCTGTCGTTGTTAATGATCGAGGTGGTTTTGCAGTATTTATTGATTGCAGGCGCCGAATTGATCTTTAATTGATTATACGTATAATTCTATCCACACGGAGTCGTCCCGATCCTCGACCCTGCGACGCTTCAATAGCGATGCCGATCGTTGTTAATCCATCCATGCATGTGTTTCGGTCCCCGAATGATGGACCCCACACATTGATCCCAGTGCTGGGACGCGATCCCACTCCAGCTGACAGCTCGAACAAAGGCAGAAGCTAAAAAAAGGGATTGCAGAGATCCGAAACAGGCACAGCCACCAAGGCGTGTGACGGATATTGTCCCGCATCGCATGCGCCGAGTTGGGGGCCAATCTGACCAGCTATAACAACACCCCATCATCCTGCCTTCTGCTTCACTAACTCTCACATTCTGACTCTGCGTTGTAATCACCATGCATCTGCGACTGTTCTTCGGGGCAGCCGTCCTCCTAGGCGCGGACGCCGCCGCACACCGTCCCTTTCTACCCCCCACCGAATTGCCCAGCCCTCGCCCATCTCCAGGCCTCTTCGGCGACTCCATCGACCAAGACAAACTACGCCCCCACCTAGCTGATCCAGAATGGACATCCACCGTATCCAAACACCACGGCGACCCCGCCATGAGGTCCTATACGCAGCGCTTCCTCGCCCAGCTGCGCAACGCCACCATCGCAACCCGCGACAGCCCCACAGTCCATCGCCTCTGGGACGGACCTAGCACGATCGGACTGCTCGACCTGACGGACTCCACCGTCGTCATCTTCCTCTCGGACGACGAGATCCACATCTCCTACCTCGAGCGACGCTCGTCCAGCGCGCAATTCTCCAACCGCGCGACCCGACCATCGGCCGCCGAACAGTTCCAGGCCCGGCTCGTGCGCCCCGACACGACGCAACTGCTCCACCCGTCCGCCGCTGACGGAGCGACCACCGCCCCCGAAGTAATCCTCGTGACGCCGTATGCACCCGGCACACGCGACCACTTCAAACACCCGACGCAGATCCGGCAGCTACAAGACGACCTGCAGGGGATCGTCGGAGGCGACAGCCAGGTTGGCCCCACCGTAGTGGGCTATACCCCAGACGCCAACGAGGAGGGGTATGTGGCGCCGACACACGGCAAAGTCCTCATTTCATACAACCTCATTCACCACCTGGAGTGGTCGGAGGAAGAAAAACGCGACCACATCTACTCAAGCGTGGACATCTGGACCGGGGACGCCGCGCGACCGGTGCACTCGCGGGTATGGAGGGCGCCAAACCAACGCCAGGGCCAGAGGCCGGCTTTCGAGCGGGGCGGACGACCGGATGAGGCGGAGGGCCGTCACGCGCCGTTGGATCTCAATCGGCTGAATCTGAATCTGCAAGAGGAGTCGTCGCTGGCGTACCTTACTTGATTTGGTTATCCCGTTGTATACCCCAGCCCTGTACTTAGTAGTCGAAGCGTTGATTGGCGAAGGAGCCGGGATTGATTGGGCGCTGGGCGTCCACTAGTTCGTTTTGTTATACCCCATTTTGCTTGTCGGTTACCGAGGGCCGTTACGTTGAATATTTTTTCCAATATTTACGAGTTCGGGAATACTAAATAATTTATCGCATGTAGCATTCGGTCGCCGTATCGGCGGCGAATTGGTAAACGAGGTGGAAAACAAAAGGTATATAGTAGATAAACATTGAAAGGGGAGCATGCACATCCCGACAGCTAAACCCGAACCTTCTCCTCGTGCTCGGCGGTTCCCACGACCTTCTTCTCCAGCGGCGCGGACGGCTCCTCACCCAGCAGGGCCAACAGGCCGATCTCGCTCTCGATGCGGTGCTTCAGCGCTGCATCCTCCGCGGCCACTCCTCCGGACCCGAAAAGCTCGTCCATCTCCTCGAGCGTGCGGCCTTTCGTCTCGGGAACGAGGAAGATGACGTACAGGACGGCGAGCGTCGTGATGCAGCCGAAGAAGATGAAGGTGCCGTAGTTGGAGACGCCGATGAACGGGGAGGTGAAGAGTCCGACGGCGAAGTTGTTGAGCTACGGTTGTTAGCAAATGTTACAATCAAGACGAGGAAACAAGGATTTAGAGAAAAGAAGAAAGAAGAAAGAAGAAAGAAGAAAGAGGAAACTCACCCAATTGCTGCTACCACCGATACTAACACCCTTGGCGCGCATGGACAGGGGGAAGACCTCAGAAACCAGGATCCATGCCACGGGGCCTGAAGTTCGACTCGTTAGCTTGGATCTTCACGAAAACATGGTGACGACTTACCCCAGGAGTACGCAAAGTTAATGATGAACAGCCAGACAAACACTACAGCCGCCCAGCCGGCACCGCTGTGCGAGTCAAACGAGTGCTGGTATGACCCGATGATACCCGCGACGATGAAGTGGCACGCGGCCATGCCGATGCCGCCAGCGATGAGGATCTTCTTCCGGCCGATGTTGTCGACCCAGATGACGGCGGGGATCGTAAACACGAACTCGAAGATGCCGGCCACACCGGTGGCCAGGAGCTTGGTGGTGTCGCCGCCCAGGTTCAGATCCTCGAAGATTTGGGGGCTGGTAGAGGTTAGGATGGTATCAAGTTGCCGTCGATCTATTATCACTTACGCATAATAGTTGATTCTGCAATATCACGACGGTTAGCACTATTCATGTGGCCCTAGGGTCGCTGTCACTCACGCATTGATTCCATTGAATTGTTGGAAGAACATCACTAGACACTATCCAGCCAGTCAGAATCATACCAGGTCCATGTACCCGGGCAACATACCGCAATGCTGGTCCGCTTAAACAGCGACGGGTCCGTGACCAAGGACATATAGTCGTAAAGCCCGATCATGAAGCGGCTGCGGAACGACCCGTCCTGGAAATCGGGGTACTTCTTCTTGGCCGTCTCTACCTCAAACATGTGCAGCGCCTTGATCTCGAGATATTCGATGCGAACCAAAATGTCATCGACACTGGCATCGCGCAGGCGGGCAAGCGTGTGGAGGCACTCTTCATCGCGTCCGGTGTTCATGAGGTGGCGTGGTGACTGGGGCATGAACAACATCATACCGGCGGCCAGGACGAGCGCCGGGGCTAGCTGGATACAGACGGGAATTTCCCACGATGCGATGGACTGGGATGCGCCCGTGCCGCCGATGAAGTTCGTTCCGTAGCCGATCTGTCAAGTCAATACACGTTATCAAGCGGGGGTGTTCTGGTATCACTCACCCAGAAGCTGGTCATGATACCGAAAGTGATCGAAAGCTGCTGGACAGCAACCAGCGAGCCACGAATTTCCGGAGGAGCCTGATGCAGTTAGTTTCACGCCTGGTTCCAAACAATGAAACAGAAGTGTTAACTCACCAGCTCGGCATTGTATAACGGCACGATCATACTGAGGTTTCCCACTCCGAGACCGGTGACGAACCGACCTGCCAGAACGAAATCCTTGTTGATTGTGCACGCCTGGACGATAACGCCCACGCAGAAGATGACCACCGCGACGACTACTGTGACTCGACGGCCCAGCGCATCGGCCAAGTAGCCATTGATCAGTGTTCCCAGCCAGGCTCCCAGTTCGAGAATCGCGGTCAACATGCCCTGTCGGATACCGGGGAGTTCGGCGTAGCCTTCGGTCTAGGAAGTATAAGCAGGGGGTCCATGGAACGAGATTTTGGGGATAGTAAGTACCGCGTCGATAAAGTTTCGCATCGTGAGAATCTGCGCGAACATGCCCTGATTGTCTAAAGATGCGGTTTAGCGACATCTACAACACCCTCTCCCTCTCCCGCAGAATGTTACCACTTACACCCATAGACCAGGCCGCCCAGCGACGCAAACAGCGCGATACCAAAGGTCTTCTTGCTGCCAACGAGTCCACGCCATCCGACCTTGCTGCCGGCGAGCTCCGCGCGCTTGGCCGAGATGCCCTCGGCTGCCATTGCACCACCCATGTTGGAAACAGTGAGTCGAGTGTACCGACTGAGATACCGATGAAAATTGTGTGCAATTCGAAGTAGAAAGCTGTCTTCACAATCCACGACCCTGGAGAGAATAGAAGAAAGAAAAGAAAAAAGGAAAGAGAAGAAGAAAAAAGTACCAGAAACCCTGGCCAGGCGAACCCAAGATATCCCCTCACGCGCCTACAACTGTCACACTCCTCGACCATGCCATGGCCATGCGAACCCCACAGTACTAGGTTCGTTTTGGAAACGATCGCCGAAGCGACTTTAGCCAGAGTTCAACCAGGGGTTTCACACCTCGGGTATTCCGCCTCTGATTAGTTCGTGGCCAGGCGCCCGGCATGGCATCGGATAAGCTTCGTGGCTGGCATGGGTGGCTTTTGATAGTTGTTCAGATTGCAAGATGTGTGAACTGGTGTAGCGGTGATTCACCGGAGCGAGCTGTGCTCAGTGACATGTCTGATTGACAGACGACGGCAATGGTTGTGGAGGTGAAAAAAATGGAGAAGAATCTGGGGACCCGAAGGTGGAGGTGGAGCCGCGTCGTCCCTTTTATCCGGTATTTTGCCGGGCCCGGCCTGGAGACCCTTCATCAACGTTGATATAGCCTTAATGTGCACCATCCTCCTCCTCGGGATCGTTAGACACGGCCATAACTCGGTAGTTCATGATGTCATCTAACCCGTCCGAGCCGGATTTCGGTTGATTTTGTCTTGGAATGAGCCGACCTCTCTTCCTCGCGGTTCCGGAGATATGTCCCTGTTCTTCGACCCGGCTCTAACAGTTTCTGTTTCGGTTTCAGTGTGCATATCTCGTTGCTTATTACTTGCCGGGTTGACCCGAGCAGGGTATGAGGGCCCTGGGCCCATAGCGGAATAGGGACTGCTTGGAGTCCTCTCTCTGCCCATTGATATCAGCTTGTACCGCCCGGAGAAATGACATTTTGAGTTATACAGAATTATTAGTGGCTAGCTGTAGTGACTCGGCGAGGAGAACACGTCCTGGAACTAAAATGAATTATTGTCACGGTGGCAAAGATGGTGAAGTAGATGCGGGTTGAGTCTTGTCGTTGACTATCTCAAGTGTCTGACTCCCGAGAGATACACGTGGTATACCCTCAGCAATATATATCTATATATACTAGCTCTAGCTCTAGATAAGAATTTCTACTTTCTTCCTCAAGGGGGCCTTTGGTAGGACTTTAAAAAGTACGTTGGTAACGCTCTTATCAGAACTGTGTAATAGACAATAAGGGGGGTTTATACATCACAAGGGAAAAAAATTTATCAGCGATGCTATACCAAGAAGATCTTTTGATTCTATACTCGCGCTATTTATCAAAACAAAATCTATAACAAAGGCCGAACGGCTGTTTGGGGGCTTGACCTGACTGACAATCCCCAACAGTATCGTAACAGGTCTCTGTGCCGAGGTGGGTAGTGTGTTTTCCAGATGCACGCTGTGACAGTCATTGGACAGTCTGTCGGCGATGATCTAGGTCAAATACGTTGCATTAGTGCCGGTTCATATACTCTAATGAGCAGGCGGGAAGAGGTTAGTCACGAATTGAGGTCTTTTCTCAAACCCCTGAGACTCCTCGTCTTGCAGCCGCCCCGCCTGCTCGCCTCGCCCCTGACAATTCTCGTTGGCGGTCTCAATGCCATGAATATGGGAGGTTCTCTGTTGCGGGGAAATGTCCCCACATAAACCCGGCTGCTGGCCTGGGAGCCCATCACGTCGCGACACTGCAGGTACCTCAGTACTGCCGTCCCGGTGGTCGATACCCCCAGCGGACTAGCGTGACACGGTTGTTCCACGACTGAACGCTGGATCACAAGCTGTTTGTGCTTTAGTCGACGTGGAAAGGGCCATTATTTTACATCGGGTCGATTATGGACGAGCTGGCGAAGACGCTGTTCATGTTCAAAAAGAAGGCAGAATTGAAAGATCGTCTTGATGGTGAGCCTTGGGAGGGCATATCGCGAATGTATTATGTGATCTCGAGGTGAATTCCGGGTGTCCGGGACGGTGTACAGGGGGGCCTTGGGGGCTTAGAGGAAGGGTCACAGTGTCCATTCCCAAACGCTCATAGGTCCCTTCGTACCCATCCTTTAAAGCCGCCAGCGAATGCCATGATGGTGGGGGCAAAACCGACGATCGTAACCAAAACGGAGAAGGGGGAAGAGACAGGATGTACTCCGGAGTACTCCATAGAACGTGCAATGCCGGAATTGATTTCCACGCCGAGTTTCCGAATTGGTTTTATGGGAGCCGAAGAAAATTGACACGGGCAAATGACCAGCGGTGGTGAGATATCGGATCGAACTGATGATCTGCCCGCAGGGGTAAGGGCCAACCCGGGTCGGCTTTAAAGTATCTACCCTGATTATCATTGATGGAGTCTGTAATAAAGAAAGTTGCAGCTTTTATTGTCTGTAAACTGGTCTTCTCGTGTCCTGCATCCCGATTTCGCTCGCGCAATATTGAAGCCGGACCTACCAATCCATTAACTGGCGTGAGCAACGTCGCGCAGGATCTCTACGTGCAATTTCGTAGACGCTCGTAGTAGAAGAACCGTGGACTAAACGCAGCAGAAAAACTCTCAATAGACTGTATTGGGCAATTGAAGGGATGGGTCTCGTCCGACGTGGTCTAGTCGAGGGCCGTGATTGCATGGTACTCCACCGTTATAGCTTTCAATCTTAATAGATCGATTTTCCCGGTTCTGGTGACGACAGACTTAGCACCCACAGCATCGTTGCTGGACAGACAGACAAGTCTAATAGAGTGCGCATGCATGATAGGGGTCAATCCGGAGCAGGCATGTGAGGGTACATATATATAGGCGTCTTGCCGGGAGTTGTAAACCCGAGTAGTTTCTGACCACACTGGAGATTGACTTCTTATTTCTATTTTTAGATCTGGAATGTCCAATTTCTCGATCGTTTGACATACCTTTCTATTTTGATCACGCCAATCCGTGGTATACTTGCCGTGGAGACTCTCAAGACATCCCCGGGTTCGTCCAGGAAGAACAGGGCTCTGGATTTGGAAAATTGATATCATTACATATCTTACTTGTTTGTTTAGTGAACAGTGTATAGTCCTACGTGTAGCCACGCGACCAGTTTGGGTCTTGTATCGAAACACGTTTCCAGCATCCGATGTCTATTGGCATCATCCCGGCGATCCGTCCATACCTCACTTTGGCACTTGAACAAAGCCCAGTCCCTCATTCAGCCCCTTTGGTCTCCGACTCCAAGCCGGCGCTTCATCCTCGCCGGCCTCCTCTTCCGCATCCCCGTCTTCCTTGGTCTTATGCACCGTATCAACCGCATGCTCTGCAGGCGAGTACACCGTAACCACCTCCAGTGGAACCTCCCCGATATTCAAAAACTGGTGTTGCGTGCCCGCCGGGACAATGACGACATCACCCTGCTTGACGTCTTGCTCTTTACCCGCGACGATAGCGCGTCCGTTTCCGTGGGTGAAGAAAAGGACTTGATCCACCGTATGCATCTGCCGCCGAATTTCTCATCAGCGTGGGCTCCGTTGGCTGTCTGCGGCGTAGGGGCGTTCGGGACATACCTCGTCTCCAATCTCGCCGTTCACCGGCACTTCCATCGCCACGAACTGCGAGTACAGGCCCGTGTGCAACACGCGACGAAACACGCCGAACGAGCGGTTCGGCGAAATCACGCCCGGGAGGTAGACCATCTCATGACGGGGCGGTTGATTTGACATGTTTCCGTTGTATGGGTTCGGCGTGCACGTGGAATACCGGCGTTGGGGGACAGTGCGGTGATATCCACTCGGGATGTTGGCCGGGACAATACAAGCGGGTCGGAAACAGGACTGGGTGACGGCAAATCGGGCAAGGGATCTGGAAAGATGGTTCATTTTAGAAATGAGGCAAAGTGCAGAGTTGATTTCGTGTCGCGGGGTCGGATTTCGGTGCTTCGTCTTATCAACGGTTGGGGGTGACACTGGTGACGTAAAGGACTATCTGCAGCTTTCCGTTCGTTCACCCCGAGCTCCCGGACTCATTGGACAATGGTTTGAGTGATGGAATGTATTGGATTACTGCCCTGAACGCTGTCTGGAAAATCATCTTTTGTAATCGGCTTTGGAGGCTCACAGGTATGTCGAATGGCGGCTGAGAGAGCTGTGTTGGGAAGTGTAGTCACAGTAAGTCAGACAACACGCGACGGCTTATTTTCGCGGTCATTAGGTCATTTACTAGCACAAAGGTAGATCATTGATTTTATTCTGTAACACCCTCTGTTGAGACTGGCAGCGACTAATATCACCTAAGTCTCGCGGATGGCGTCGGGCGCGCGTCATAGGCAATCACTCGTATTCACCTTTGTAGCTATAACTAGCACCATCCCTGCAGTCACAGTTGGAGTCAATCCAGAGACATCATCGAAGCGCAATGGACAATAAAGCGACCGAGTGAAGATAGAGCTAAGCCTGACCACACTCACAGCCAGGGAATGCCGTCCATGTCGCAACAGTCGAGACCCCCGTAGTCTCGAATTGGCGTATGTTTGGGGTTTTTGCGGCGAGCAAGTAAACCCACATCTGAGCGCACAATCTCCAATAGGTGGCCTCCCTTCAAGTACCGGAATGAAGGAGCGAGGACAGAGCGTACATGTCATATTCTTTGTACTACGAAGAGAAACATGTGGGTCGGCGTTGTGGGAGCGTCAATGCGGGGAGAGTCTTCTACGCGTCGCAGTTCATCTCAAGCCAGGCAAGTAGGGAGTCGTTATTACGGAACGCTGGCCGACGGTCAGAGAGTCTGGCAGATACGAAACAATGGAAGGCCTCATTGGAGTCCAATTGATCTCATATACATCAGTATTTCTCACTATAGCCATCCCGCGTATATTGGTCCTGGCTTCTGTTTGGCTCCCTTCTAGACGCTGGACGATGGTAGAACGGAATATCATTCATCTTTGGAACTGCTCTTGCAACGATATGGTCAAGAATGCCGCTACCAAGGCAGCACAACCTCCCAGTCTCATAACCCATGCGACGCTTGTATCATA